CCAAAAACAGTGATTTTCTCTTTTCATACTGAGTTGGACACCACCAAATACCTGGAACAGAAAAAGAGATCACTAAGAAACCGAACCACAACTATCTTGGCTCAGAAACTACCTTGAGAACAGAAGGCTTCGTACCAAGGTAAATAGATTGCACGCGAGCTGGTGAGTATCCACAGGGAACCAGTGTCCACCCACTTCTCTTCCTGACGACCTGTCAGCACTGATGAGACTCCCCAGATAAGTGAAACGGTCGACAAGCTCAACTGCTTCACTCCCTATCACTAGTCCAGGTGCCGATGCTAGCCAATCCTGAAGCAACATTTTGCATTACGGCGAGGCAGAATCGCATACCGAACATGCTTGCATTGTTGCTTATGGTAGTCAGGAGACACTGCATTGCGTCAGCGTCTTCACTGAATAGAATTATGTCATCGGTATATTCTAAGTCAACAAGAGTGTCTGTTGGTAGAAGGTCCACCCCTGAAAAGTCGGTCGAAGATAATGTTATCTCTAAAAGCATGTCTATGACAAAGTTAAACAAGAATGGAGAAAGTGGACAGCCCTGACGGATATCACTTGAAGTAAATGTCGAGTCTATTTTGTCTCAGCCTTTCGAAAATCTAATCAATTCATTCCCATTGAGTTCATCACATATATTTTATACACGAAGCGTGAATCGAGATGGTTCCTTATTTTGATATTTTGAGGTCAAATAATGATACTACTCGGATCCTGTATGCGCGTTTCGGAGACGTAGCATACATCGACGGCGCAAGATTTCATAGTCCTATCTAAGAAAGTATATATATATATATATATATATATATATATATATATATATACTTGAACGATACAGAGATTAGGTTAGCAAATGGCAGAAATCCATGCAGTGACTGACAAGTGGAGTGAGTCATGTTTGTAGGTGTAGACTAATGCTGGCAGAAGTCCTCTGTTCACCGATGTGATCTGTTCAGGCATACACGAGCCTCACACCAATTCCCAGCTGAATGGAAACAAGATACTTTCTCTACAATCTTCACGAACCCAAATTAACAACAGAACCAAACTCCATATTAGGTACTAAAGTTTATTTGCAATTCACAAATAATCGACCAAAATGTCGTTCGTCAATCTACAAATAGTCGACCGACGTCGTTCTAACAACAGTAATTATAATAACTACAAATACCTTCAATTTTATTGGGTTCCCGGAGCAAAAACTGAAAATGACCAAACCAAGACAAACAGAAATCAAAATGGCCGAAAATAATAAATCCAAGAAGTTCATAAGTTATTAAAACAAATATACCCAAAAAGCACAGTGAAATTAATGATATTTATATAGAGGTATTAATCAGTCAAATGTTTTCATTTCTCCCGTAACACTAACCGAAGTGTCACGTCATGCATATTTCGCCTCACACGACGGAAACGATCAGGTAGCCTGCGCCTTCTCATCCCCATGTCAGCTAGCATTTTCCGTCACACATCACGACCATTAAGTTTCCACGTCTGATGTCTGTACACGTCTGATATCGAAAGGACTTAACTGAGGCTCTTCGGTCTTGGTATAGCGTGGAGAACGATCTCTCTAACCACATCAAGTGTTGCAAGAGCCGACCTAGATCTGTGAGACAACGACCGGGAGGCAAAAGTAAGCACACAATAATGACAGTTGACGCTGATCGACAACCCTGGGCACAAGACACGAAGTTCATGGTCTCGCCGATTGGATGCACAACACAGGCAAAAAATCTGCACAGACCACTTCCCACAGAACTTACCAACTCGGTTTGAACAACTTGTTTGAAAATGCGACGACGGCTGTTGCTGCAGGGGTGCATCAGGTGATGAGACAAACAACCAAGGGACTCTATAGCAGTGTCACAGGACTAAGGGGTAAGCTGTTAGAAATCATGAATATGTGCTCTCACATGGATCTGTAGATCATAATCCTAACTGAAACATGGCTGTCTCTTGACATTGCAGACGACAAAGTGAACATGCAAGGCGTTAAAAAGGGTTTAAAACTTAACTAACCGAAGTGCCACGTCATGCATATTTCGCCTCACACGACGCAAACGATCTATACCCTCAATGGAAGTCCGCTCCCTAATGTCTATTCAGAGCGCGATCTCGGTACAATAACCACAGAAAGCCTCCACACGAGTTCGAACTTTGTAGGGGACGTAGCCGAGGCAAATTCGACTCCTCACTTTATGCAAAGACAACTTGGTGCTGTAACCCCGCAATTATTTTTAACCCTATTTAAGACGTACGCGCGCCCACACCTGGAGGTTCACAATGTCATCGCACCCCCTCTGCTTAAAAGAGACATAAATCTCTTGGATCGAGCAACCAAATGGATGATAGGGATGAAAAATAAACCTTGCTCTTCCAGCCGAGGTGACCACATCAGTGGATAGCTGTAAGAAGAGACTTGATAATCACGTACTCACTTACGGACTATCATCGCCCTCTTGGACAAGCTGTTCATGATGCATATCTCGAGACCTGCAAGTTGTTATCATTGCCATCTCCTCAGATCACTTACTTAACCTATCTCGCATCTCATCTCTGTTCCCTCCCCCTTGTTTACACTACGGTTCTCTCTCACAATCTTCACTACCAATTAACAAACTAAATTCATCTACATATTACTCATTTCTGAAACTTTATTCATATTAGCATTAGAATTTTATCCTTGTTATCCTTATTACTCTCCACATTGCAAATAAGTGATCTCCGACCTGGTCATGTGATGGCTGCTGGTATCCAGAAACCCTACTGCCCTGAAACAAACGTTTTCATTCAAATCCTGAGACAGACAAACTCACAACCAACTGTCAACTGACTAGAATTAGGCAGTCGAGTGGCTGGACCTCCATCCAAGGAGTTTACACCATTAATGTGGCCCTTAAAAATTAGTAGAGATTATGAGAAATAAGGATTGCGGTGTGGCAAGTGTATATATATATATATATATATATATATATATATATATATATAACGAAAGCAGTACTTAACCTGCTACTGTTATTTCGTCAATACAGTGGTATGTCAAGACAAAATTCATTCTGATCACTAAAATTAGACGAAATTATGGAAATATAAGAATATAACCCACAGGTGAAGGATTACAGCAATGATGAAGGAAGAGTTGTGGAGTGTCAAGTGGATAGATTAGATGTTGAAGTAAGAGGCTGAATATACATACGTTGAAAGCGAAATTTCAGTTAAAAGAGTAGAGTTTTCACTGTCTGTTGTTTTGCTGAATGCCAACCTCTAAGTCATGCTGTTAATGCCTGAGTAAGCACTTTGCTGGTGTCTTGACAGAATAGCGACCTCAGTATAGTTTTGGAGACATGAACCTCAGAAGTAGAAAGCGTATAAGAGCAACCTCAGTGTTACTGATTAGTCGACTCATCAATCTAAAGAACCGAAAGCAAACAAAATGTTCTGCCCCACAAACATGGGTGGTTTGAAGTAATTGCTCATGCCATCAATATTTGCTGGTCAGTAACTCCACCCTCCCTCCTTTTGTGTTAGGCTCATGTTAAATTTCTAAAAGAAATTATTTTATGTTCTACTTGGTGCTCTATGTCTCACATCCTTTTGAGAAACACTGTTTCTGCAAGTTCCTTTGACAAATTTGTCTGGCTGCTATAACCATTGGTTAGGCATCGATGTAATACAGTTAACAGTTATGGAGAAATAGTACGGATTTCGAAACAAGATATAAACATTTCGAATGTATTTGGGGAGATGTACTTAACTAGCTAAGCAGGGGATTTAAAGAGTATCACGGTTAAAAGTGGAGCAATAGATAATACTAAGTGATCAAGGTAAGTCAATAGAGTGTAAGTGAGAACAGTGCAACTGATAATAGGCAATGTGAGACTCACACAGTTGTAAGTGTTGATAATGTTGTGCCCAGGAAAGCAGAGTGCGTTCTAATCAACCAATTTACACTTGAACAGTGTCGATCGACCAAGTGAGTAGAGTAACCTGTCTATTCCAAATAAAAACTAAAGAGATTTATATACAACTAGAAAAATTTAATGCTACTTAGGAGGGTAAAAATAACTAAATAAGATGCAGCACTGAAGTCATTGTATCTTAAGTGTATGCAGAGCTAATAATATGGAAGCAGGGTGCGAGTGAGTTCACAAGTGCGGAAGAGTCAGTGCGACTGAGATCATCATCAAAAAGTTGAACAAACTCATGTAATCCACTTTCCATGAGTATTTTTGAGGGAAGCCCATTCCATATAAGTGCATACTTAGTGAGGAAGAAGTTTTCTTGAGTTTTGGATCTATACTTCTCAAGTTTGACCGTAGATACTTTATCTCGAAGGTTATGTATACATGGGCCTTGGATAAGGACTTAACTACAAGAGGAGTATGTGAGCTTGTGCAGGAGTTTATAGTAAAGGATTAGATTGGACTTTAGTCTTCTTTTCCATAATGGATCAAGCCCAAGTTCATTACATGGAATTGGATAGTTAATGAGTGAGCTATGATTTAGGACTTTTCGAGTAAAATTCCTTTATACTCCTTCAAGCTTCAATATATCAGACAGGCGTAAATTAGAAAATAAGAAAGAGCAGTATTCAGCAATAGGTCTTACACATGTTTTGTAGAGAATTGTTGTGAATTCTCTATGAAGGAAGTTACGAAAGATGAAACCAAGCATTCTTCTCATTCGGGAAACTTTATTGGAGATATGTTCAGAGAAGCTAAGGCTGTGCGAATAATACACTCCAAGATCTGTTACGGATGTGAGTTTGGGCAGTACATTCCTGTTGAGAGTGAGATCTATTTTGGAAGACGTGTCTCCAAAACACATCCAGCCACATTTCTGAGTATAAAGTTCTAGGTTCCATTGCTTACACCAGACATCTACAGTATTGAGTTCATGCTGGATTGTGTGCAACAAATTTCCTAGTCGAGTGGCTAGACCTACATCCATTGGACATTTCCGAACACCTAGAACCGTGCTGAAAGAACCAGAATCGAGCGCGAAGAAATCAATTGGTTTGCACTAGATCGTGAAAAAGATATTGGATATTGGGTGGCCTTGGAAGCCCAAGCAAACCTAGGATTTTAAACATGGCAGGTATGATCTTTTGTCATTCATAGTAGTCTGTGTATTTGATATTCATCGTTACGATCATAAAGGCCGTTGTATTTCCAGGCATGCATAAAAATGATAAAATTCTGGAAATAGATCATAGTTATAGATCATAGATCATAGTTATCGTCAAATACGTTCGCAACGAGCTTGTACTACCCGATATATTTCTTTGCGATTGCTTCGTGTTCTTTGGGTACGGTCCTAAGTCCCCAGCCATTTCCTGTAGGAGCTAGTTGCGCCACTCGACTGCATTAAATGTAGACAGTTTAGTAGTTGTTTGTGGTTTTTTACATGAAGTGCTGAAAGTCGGCAATCGCTTCAAGAAGTAAATACGTAAGTTAAGTATTTACTTATGCAAATGGTTTGAAAAGGCAAAAGTTTCAGAAAAGAATGAAAACGGAGATGACAATTGAGGTAGGAATATGTTAGTGATATGTGGTAATGATAAGTGGAGGAGAATGATCTTCGTTTATTAATTGTCTGCAAGACGTAGATGACTTTGAAGTATGCCTTATCACTAAAACGTAGCCTACATGTCATCTACATACAATGAAGATAGAACCTTTCTGATCCAGGTGTATAAGTCCATACTTTTCGTCTTATTAGCCTCATGTTTCACACTATCTTGTCCCAGATTTCTTAAATTCTGTCCCAGACATTTTATTTAGGTATCACGTGTTTAGCAGCGAGCCTTAAGGTTGTTGTACTTAAATTGTGTAACAAAATTAGATGCATTGACGATTTCTACGTTGATTACAGTTATGAAAACCCTTTAAAGATTCTCAAGTTACCGCTGGGTTTTGGGAGTAAGTAATAATTATCAGAAATAAACACTGATGTATGTTCGTCTGAACTTAAGAGACTTGAAACTTCATCACAGGTCAGATCGTAGTTTTTGATAGTTCTACCTCTTACCGAAAGAAAGCTACGGGTAACCAAACGAAAACATGCACCAGTCCGTAAAGTTACTCACAGTTAAACAGAGCCATGTTTATGGATGCGGACTTCCGGTTGAGGACGGCGTGTTAATCGTAGTTATTTATATACTTTGAGTAATTTATAATCCAGAATCAGCACGCAACTCACTATCCTAAGCAATTCAATTGGGTTTAATAGCTTAATAAAACCATCTTTAATGATGGTGCAGTGAAGTTAACTAATGATATTTGCGTCGAAGGCTCCAGCTGTCGTCCCCTAAGGAAACCACTTTCTTCGGTCTAAACACCAGTCAGTATCCAAGCACAAACGCAAAGTCACTGACTTGTGGCGCAACGCAGTTGTTAGGAAACGGGCACTAGATAAAAATGGTATATCAGTTAGTGAACTTAGTCAGTCAGTTACAACGTAGAATTCCGTACGAACGTACATCAATTCAAGATGCAATACCATGCTAGCACAGAGACGCAATTGTCAATTCAAATCCCATAGTGATGGTCCAACCGACCTATATTGGCTGAAGGTTCTACCATGTCAGTTCAAATCCAAGAGTGACAGCAATAGTGGAATTATTCAGTCAGTCAGTCAGATGCAACGTAGAACTTCATACGTAAGTACATCAGTTCATGTTGCCATACCACATCAGCACAGAGAAGTAATCGTCAATTCAAATCCAATAGTAGAAGAGGTCGTAAGGGAATTAGAAGTAATCGGAGAGGTTAGGATTAGAAGATACTATTCAAGAGGTATGATTCAGTGAGAAAAGTTTAGAGGGTCGAAACCAGAGGTGTTGAAGAATCCAGAAGATTAGGATTTGAGAGAACACAAAGAATAAATGCACCGGCGCCATTGCATGCATTGCGTCAGCGTCTTCACCAAGTAGGACTATATCATCGGCATATTCTAAGTCGATAAGTGAACCTCCTGGTACGTCTACTGCAAATTCAGACGAGGATAAGGTTATATCTAAGAGCGTGTCTATGATAAAATTAAACAAGAATGGAGAAAGTGGACATCCCTGACGGACACCACTTGAAGTGAAGAATTCCGATGACAGTTCGCCATAGGCTCTCACTCGACCATCAGTCGTAGAGTAGAGAGCTTGCATAAAGTTAATGTACTTATTTGGTACACCTATCAATGACAGACACTGCCACAGAACCTCACGATCAACAGTGTCAAATGCCGTCTTTAGGTCCAGAAAGACAACTATTGTAGGACGCCTATATGCGTGTGTCCTAGGACCTGTCGTAGTGTGAAAATGTGGTCTCTACAGCCATGTCCAGGTCTGAACCTTGCCTTGTTTTCTTTAGTCTCCTCTTCAGGAGCACTAGTAAGGCGTCTAAGTATAATGGAGGCTAATAATTTAATAACTATATTAGTTAGACTGCTTCATCTATGATTGTCACAAGAAGACGTTTGTCCTTTCTTATAAATTGGGACAATCGAGGATTGGGACCAGTCAGGTGGGATTACGTCCAGTTCCCAGATCTCGGTCAATCTAGCTGCTAAAACTGGACCACCATCCTTAAATATCTCAGTCGTCAGTCTATCAGGACCTGCAGCTCGTCCCCGCTTCAGATTACCTATAGCTTTCTCAACTTCATAAAGACTAGGGGGACTTACATTGATTTACCATTCAGGATGACTGGAGATCGTGGGTAACCGGAGAGTGGCTCGAGACCAGTTGAACTGATCCCTAAAGTGTTCTGCCCATCGATCCAGTCTCCTGGATTGAGAATAAATAATAGTCCCATCCTTTTCCGAGACAGTCTCACTTACACCAGGATTCCTAATACCAGTTTCCTTGATAATTCGGAAAAGTTGTCTTATGGTTAACCTTACTAGCAGATCACTGCTGCTTCCACAGCCTTTTGGATATCATTCCAAGTTGCCTCCGGATGGGAATCACTTACATGGTTGCCTAACTCTCTTTCTAGTTGCTCATGAAATATATTCTTAGCCTCATTATCATTAAGTAAAACACTGAGAGGTTTCCTTGCAGTGTCTTTCATACGTCCAGTAAGCCTCAAACAAATACGCGATCGCACTAGAGCATGATCTGAATCTAAACATGTGCCCCAGAACGAGCGACAGTCCTCTATCGAACCCCTCCGTCGGTGGATGACGGCAATGTGATCTAGTTGGGTCCAACGTTGAGACGACTTTGGGAGTCGCCAGGTCAAAAGATGTTTTTCCTTATGCCTAAAGTTAGTGTTTTTTACTAGAAATAGGAGGTTATCTGAGCACAACTAGAAAAGACGGTCGTCATTGTCTGTTTTCTGAGCCACGACACAATAACATCCACCCAACTGTCTTTCCTGCTCACCTAGTCTACCTACTTGAGTATTAAAGTCACCAGGCATTATTACTACATCGGAGCGCCTAGCTTTTTGGAGGAGGTCCGAAAGCTTTCTGTAAAACTCATCTCTCAGCTCGTCTGAACTGCAGTCAGTGGGGTCATAGGCAGATACGACGAACAGGCAACGACGGGTGTCCCTATCTTTCCGGGTCCTTACTGTCCTGTTCAGTCGGACAGCGCATAAGCGACTATCTCCTGGGATTCAGTCTAGGAGAGATAGTTCTGCCTTCGACTCAATGCTATACCTACGCTAGCCAGACCCTGGGAAGCAGCATCAGGGCTACCGGATACACGAAGAGTAAATCGAGCTGCTTCTTTATTTCGACATGGAGAAATCAAATCAATGCCCTTACTAGGATCCTGCATGCGCGTTTCTGAGACGCAGCACACATCGATGGCGCGAGATTCTAAAGTCCTAGCTAATGAAGTCTGTCGCCCTATTTAACATAATGTCCGTGCATTAAATGCTCCAACATGTAGTTTAGAACGGGGTTTAAGGAAACCAGGAATAACTTTTCGTGAATTCGCATCGTTTGCATTAACGGTGCAGTGAGATAAAGGAATGTGAGTAGGGTTAGTCGTGGAGATAAGGGAGATATTAGGGGATGTAGGAAGGATTTGATTCTGACCGATTCGGTCTCGTGTGCTGTTACGGGCATGAGGGCGGTTGTCACTTCCCGGCTGCCACACCGTGGAAGGGTGTTTCTTGAGTAACCTGAAAAGGAAGATAGATTAGTGTTGGTCTTAGAGACCTGGATGCGTGACCGCAGAGCCCAAGGGACAACTAGTTGAGGCCGGTCATGCACGGCCTTTTTATGAAATGTTTTTTGAGTATTGACTGCAGTCTTTTTAAAGCCCTTAGTGGGCACCCTTACCTCCGCAGACGGAAATCCGTGAGGTAGAGTGAGGTGTGACATTTTTAGGGTCGACCTTTCCCAATCCTTCCTTCTTTGTGAGGAGGCATCATCGCTGTGGATGCTGGTAGTCCGAGGAAAACACCTTACTGCCGTCACATCCCTTTGCAGTCAGCAGTACGACTTCGCCCTCAGACCTTGAGTAGCTGCTTTTAGTCTCGTCGTACTCCAATCGACTTGCTTGGCATGATAGAACCTTCAGGAACATATTTTCCAGCTAGTATAGCTCGGTTGGGTCATCACGATAGGCAAGCCCTACCACTACGTAATGGTAGCAGGCACGGTCGGGAGAACAGACACATATTTAGGCGTCCAACAATAGTTATCTCCCAGGACCTTAAAGACGCATTCGACTGTGTTAATCGTGAGGTTCTGTGGTAGTGTCTGTCATTGAAAGGTGTACCAAAGATATACAGGCTCTCTACTCGAATATCACTGGTTGAGTAAGAGCTTATGGCGAACTGTGATCGGAATTGATCGCTCTAAGTGATGTCTGTCAGGGTTGTCCACTTTCTCCATTCTTGTTTAACTTTGTCATAGACATGCTTTTAGGGATGACATTATCTTCGACCGACTTTTCAGGGGTGGACCTTCTACCAACAGACACTCTTGTTGACTTAGAATATACCGATGACATAATTCTATTCAGTGAAGACGCTGACGCAATGCAGTTTCTCCTGACTACCATAAGCAACAATGCAAGCATGTTCGGTATGCGATTCTGCCTCGCCGTAATGCAAAATGTTGCTTCAGGATTGGCTAGCATCGGCACCTGGACTAGTGATAGGGAGTGAAGCAGTTGAGCTTGTCGACCGCTTCACTTATCTGGGGAGTCTCATCAGTGCTGACGGCCTGGTGACCGACGAAATCTCAGCACGGATAGAGAAGGTTCGATTGGTTTTTACCGACTTGCGTCACTTATGACACAGGTGAGATATCCGTCTGCTAACTAAAGGACGAGTGTACCGTGCAGCATTTCTCTCCGTCTTAGTTTACAGCTGCGAAACACGGCCGTTAAGAGTAGAGGACTTTTGTAGGTTACTAATATTCGGTCATCGGTTTCTCCGAAGCATTGCTCGTATATCCTGGGACAACTGTGTAAGGAATGCTGTCGTTAGGAATCGAGTACTAGGTAGGGATGGCAAATCAATAGATGAAGTAGTGAAACTTCATCAGTTGAGGTGGTTGGGACATGTGTTACGTATGCACAACCGCCGACTGCCTGGACGAGCGATGTTTTGTGATGTAGGGATAGGTTGGAGGAGAGCTATGGGCGACCAGACCGAGACATGTCAGAAATGCATGAAGTCACTGACAACTGCACTTTTGTGAAAGAGTTTGAAAACACAAAACAGGTGATAACTTTGATTTCTTTTTATGTAGTAGGTGTACAGTTTATCTCTCTAAATATCCAATAATAATTACTGTTACTTTGTAGGATTTTCATTTGGGAAACCTTCAACCACTAGTGCTTTTGCATTCGGGTCATCTCATTTTGGATCATCTGTTGGGACAAAACCAACGTTTGGTGTTAGCACAGCTCCAACTTCATTATTTTCTCCGACTACTACATCGAGTTTCAATACTGTTGTATGCAGCTCTTCACTCTTTCAGAACCCTTCACCTTTATCCCTGTCTTCTAATACAGGATTCGGTACAGTTACAACCACTTCAAATGTTTTTGGTTTGTCGTCCTGCTCCAGCTTAGCTAATCCATCCACAGCAGCACCTACTTTTGGTATTTCTTCAATCACTGGTTTGGGAACTAACTCAAATCCCTCACTAACTTCGCAATCTTCTCTCAGTCAGTCATCGGTAAATCCTTCACCCAGCCTCTTAAAGCCGGCAGCTACGACTAGTAATATTGGAAGTCCATTCACTTTTGGATTGACTACTCCTGTCACTATCCAAAGTACCGTGACTCCTCCAGTTAGTTTTGGTACTTCTCCTTTGACGATTTCGTCTATTAGCGCTTCCACCGCCTCCATCGTAAATACCCAACCAGTCAATTCTAGTAGTCTTGGTTTTGGTGTATCTTCACCTTCACTATCATCCACAGTGATGACGTCAACAGCAGCATCGTCAGTGACATCTTACAACTTTGGGAATTCTAACCTCTCTGCACTGGCCAAACCAACAGTGGCTTCAGGGTTTGGAACGTCGTCATTGGGAATTGTAACTCAAGCGTTAAGTGGAACAACGACGACTGCAACAGCAATATCCACATCGTTATGCGCCACTATCGCAACAGCAACCACTCCTGTTTCTTCTGCCACTACTACATCTAGTGTGTCAGTTACATCTCAAACTCTTACCTACAACCAATTAGAAGAACTGGTCAATAAATGGACTCTTGAACTTGAGGAACAAGAACGGTATTTCTTCGATGAAGCAGATCGTATTAACCAGTGGGATCAAACTTTGATTTGTAATGCAGAAAATATAACAGCTATGCACGAAAAGGTAGAAATGTGTCAGTGTGAACAGAGTCGTCTTGAGCAGGTACGTGATTTTGTTTTACCTAGGATTATATTTTTCCTATCTCAAAATGCCATTCTAGCTGATTTAGAAATACGTTTGACGAAATCATAGAAGCAACCGTACCATCATGTAGCATCAGTTAATAAAACAAATTAATCTTGGACTGAGTCGAATAGGTCAGTCGATCATCATCAACATTAGGGCCTGGCATAAATGTTCGTTGAGCCAAGTTACCGTATCACATTAGCACAACAAAGTAAAAATAAAGAAATGACTAGCAAAGCAATCGAAATAATGTATTAGTGATGTCATTAAGGGAGATTAAACCTTAAAAATATCGTGCGAAAAGAGTGGAATAGTGTGTATAAAGGAATTCTAGAGTTCATTATAGGAAGGAAAACTGCGAAGGCATCTCTGTCTTTGCGAACAATCCTGAGCCGTTTCTGCTGAAGTCTTCAACCATCTACATCGGTCTTTTTGCCTGTCGTAAACACCTATAAAACTTGAGAATATCTCTCTACCTCCAGTTTCTGTTATCGTAAGTGCCCTTTCGCTATCAATCTTGTCCATATATGGCATTGGAATTAACATTGTTTCAGGTACTGTTCTTGCTTAGTTCGAATTCCTAAAGGAAACTCATTGTAATAAACTTTCGGAGGTATTGCTTATCTTCTTACTCTGTAACATCAACTCAATCTAAACACTTATTGAAGGTCCTCTCTTTTCTCCTCACACGGTTATGTACAGTCAAAATACTCGTTTATAGAAGCGTGGGATGTTTGTACATCTTGTAGGATTTTAGATTTTCGTCCGTAGAGTTTCTTTGAATCCTAGCTAAAACTTTAGATAGTTATTGGCATATAACAGTTGTTTTTTCTTAACTAGTCTGAATTGGAACTCAGTTTCCTGAAGAAGTTGTAAAGTAGACAGTAGTCTACAACTAAACATTGGAAAAAATAGACTTCAGTAACGTTATTTAGTTAATTGGCTGATTTCAGGTCGTTCCAAGATAAAAAAAACCCGGATACAAGTTGATCTGATTTTGGAACTACAGGTAGCTGAAATAAAGGAGGAAAATAAGTAGATAATATCTAATTATTATCATCACTTCATATCAAATATATGTAGCTCTATAATTAGAAGCTGGTGTAGGATTTAATTTGTCCTACAGATGTAATTCTAAAACGTAAACGCAAATACCGCCGATGACAGAGTCCCAAGTGAAACTATAGTTAACAGAAGACAATTCGGTTTTAAACTTTATCTGTTTCTAAACAAAAGAAAACGATTAATTTAGTACAATAAATAAGGAAATTACAATTATCAAGCAGAATGAGCAAACGTACCGGACAGTATAGCGTGTCTTTAGAAAATGAATAAAAAACATGAGTCACAGCAATATAAATAAAATGTTAACATCCTTCAATCGATGGACCATTCACAACAAAGAAAGTTTATACATCAGTCAGACTAGATGACGTGGTGAGCGCTTAACCAATCTGATTGGTTAGTTATGACATAACTACAATTAGTCATAAAATAACTAACACTCCCCCCGAAGCGGTCACCACGTCCAGACCTCGTTATCGCGGCGTTCAAGTAGTCAGCTTCCTCTAGTAGGCATAGGTTTCGTATATCTCGGTTGATCTCTACGGTGTCTCTTCAAACGAATCGTTCTGACTCGGCCATCGGGACCATAATCGACTTCTCTAACTATAGCTCCCACCCAAAGATTTCTCAGCAAACTAGTATGGTTTACTAACGGTGAGTCTCCATGTTGTGGCTTCCTTCTCATTGACTTTATAATATGTTTCCATATACCGCCTCCGGGATCAAAGGTTAATGCTATAAACGACAAAATATTCCTTCTGGTTAGGTTTCCAGAAAACTCGTGAACTCTGGGAAATTATTCATCCGCTCGGATATTCTGCTCTACTCCCAGCGTTCCTTTACACATCTCGTTGGATCCGCATAGGGTAATGTTTCCCTTTATTTTATCACTTTTCTGGCAAAATGAATTCGATGATACCGGTGGGGATGTTACTGTAGCTTCCGCTGCATAATTTTCGGTTCTTATAGAATTATGTTGTGAATTAAGACCACGTCTGTTCTGATGGTTTGACCTGATGGTGAATGTTTGACTCAAAACAGATACAGAACTGTCGAATCTATATGGACATGTGTCGTTCTCTTCGATAGCTTTTCTTTTCAATTCACGACGTCTTCGAAAGGCTTCGTGAGACTGGAAAACACTCTTATCACAAACCATTCTATCCTGTTCGATGATTCCATCAAATAATGTTGGAAGAAGAGCCTTCTTGTCTTCTAAGACAGAGAACCCACTTGTACTTACATGAGTAGGACGTGACCGATAGCGATGTGTTTCAGGATCCGAAGTGCGGTCTAATGACTTGCTTTCTGACACATTTGTCCTTATTCTTTTAGCTTGAGATGTTCCTGATGCAGAATCATTGCTACTACTACATGAATACTGCAGATCAAATTTACTAGGGATTTTATTTGTGGATAGTATACCTTGCCTTTCACAGAATTTTAAGACATAATCGATTTCGTACTGAGTTGCTTTGCGTAACTTGCTGACGGGTGTCCATTCTACAACGCGATCCCAAATATAACGTAGGCGATACTCTGCTCTTGTACCATGTCGCTGACGATGGGCTAGAACCTCAGCAAGACATTGGAAGTCGTTGCGCCATGTAGCCATTACATAACTACCCACCTCACTAATTGCACCCATTCTCAAAGTTCGTGAGTCAACTAGAGCAGCAGGCATTTGTAACCAACTGAGAGTATTAATCAACAGTCTGCCTTTATACACTAAACGTACTGCTGTCCGTGACCTGCAGAGAGATTCGTTATTCTTTTCAGCACTTTTGTTGTGTATATCATTTAACTGGAAATGAAAGGGTCCAAGATTATTACACCTCTGTTTATTAGCATCGGAATTATGAGCTCGGCAATGCTGGCGAATAACTGGCATTTCTCTTTCACCTGTAACCAGATCGACTTCCGCTAAAGTTACCGTTTCCTTCCGTTTATCTTCAACTACTTCCTTAGCAGAATCTTCTAGATTTTTCGAATCCTTACAGTCCGTCTGAGAAGCTGTAACAGCTTTAGCCAATGTAGTGAAGGGACACGAAGCAGAATCATGACTTGTAGATGATGCTGTCCATAAATTAACCGAAGCATCTTTCGACACATCAGCGTTGACAACGCTTGATGAATTATTTAATCCGAGAACACAATCAGATGGAATGTCTTTCTTAGCTATAGCAGGACTTGATAGAACGGTAGGTGACTTAGCTAATTCTTTCGATGCTTCGAGTGATGCAACATAAGCTTCTGTGAGAGAAGCAGGATGATTAGAAAGAGAACTAGAAAAATCCTGATCTGTCGATTTAGTCTGAGGAAGGTTTATTCCATTCAGGTTTATCGCAATTTCATCACGTTCATTTAACCTTTGCACTGTGCTTGATATAGCGTTGAATGCTCTACGATCTTCCATAGACATAAACGGGTCTTTCGATTCAGTTGAGTACAACTGCTCAAACTTATCTTCCAGTTCCTCCTTAGCCGGGAGGTGATTAAGTGCACGGTTGTTATCAATGAATTCCCTGTAAGGACCGAACAACGTCCAACCCAATAAGGTCCTCACGGCAGACGGCTCATCTATCTTTCCAGTCCTCATCTCCTTCTTCTCGTGTACTCTTGGGACATTACACCCGATCAACAGTTTAACATCCTCATCTTCTACTCTCGGGAAACTTACGTCCTTTAAATAGGACCAGGATGCCATTTGACGCGCCGTTGGTACAGTTCTGTGAACTGCCGGTAGTTTTCTGACTGTCAATACCTTCTGGATCTTAACAGATGATGAGAAGTCTATAGCGTGTAACTCTATATCCACCTCTTTAGATACCAATGACGATTCGTTATTTATAGTCTTTAAAGACACTGTTCTCGGCTTTCCCTCGAGGCCTAAATTATCAGCTAGATCTACTATTAGAGAGGTGTCTGACCCACTATCTAGAAAGGCGCACGTCTGCAGAATTCTCTCACCGTTTTTTATCCACACAGGAACTACTGCAAATGCCACAGGCCTCTGTATGCCCTTAACATCTTCCTCTGTACAAATCTGAGAATTAATGCGGGCATCACTAATAATATCTCTTCGTTCTCGCTTCTCATGTAACAGAGTATGATGTCTCCAGCCACATCCCTCAACAATACAAGACCTTGGCGATCGACAATTCTTTGCTATATGGTTTGGTTTCAGACAATTATTACATAATTTATGCTTAAGGACGAATTCTCTCCTTTCTTTAACATTCTTGTTTTAAACTTCTGGCACTGATCTAAGAGGTGATTGCTTGAGCAATCTGGACAAGGTGAATTATATAAGGAAGTATTGCTGTCATTAATGCTTGCATGTGCTACCGTCGCTATGTTGTAACTTGCGGCAGCTTTCCCCTTCAAAGCATCAAAACCTCTTTTGTCACCATTATCGCTGCGGTTGACAAGCAGGCCGTATCTAGTGTTAGCTATATCCGACTGTTCTTTAACAAATTCACAGAGGTCATTGAATGAAGGCTCTCTACCCGTCTTGAGAATTCGACATGTTACTTTAACCCATTCTCTCTGTAGGTGTGGTGGAAGTTTTAAAAACATGCTTTCGATGGTTTTCGTAGAATTAAGATCGGACAGGTAGTTCATTTGTGTGAGCGTAAGCTCACAGATATACATCTCACGAGCTAGCCTTCTTAAACTATTTGAGTCGGTCTCTTTAATAGCAGGGAAGTTCAACATCTTGTCGATAAATGCACGGGCAACTACGTGTTTCTGACCGAATGCTTCCTCAAGAAGCTCTAACGCTTTACGATAACCTTCTTCCGGTTGAAGCAATGTGCAATGAACAATGGTAGCTTTAGCTTCACCATCACAATATTGAATCAAGTAGTTTAACTTAGATCGAGGTCCGACGCTTTCATCAAAACAATCCTCGAAATTTCGTATGAAACTCCAGTAGTTCATAGGATTACCATCGAACCTTATGATTTCTCGCTTGGGTAGGTCTAAAGCTTTGGATATCATTCCTATCCAGCCCTTTCCTGCACTATCAGCTGTACGCGAAACGGATGTAGATTCGAACGACATAAACTTTTCATCCTGAATTTGGTTAAAATATTCTTTTCCTCTTTGCCGTAGTCTTTCTAACTCAATTTCGTTTTCTAGATGAGCTAAACGTACTTTAGCTAATTCTAATTCCAACAAAGGATCCGTTCGGAGGCTATTTCTTCCAAACTGATCTTCACTATGAGTTTCTGAATAGTGTGGAGACAATTCGGGAATCTGATCACTCTTCTGATCCTCCGTAGACATTTGAAGATATTCAATATATGAACCTTTGATGAATTACTGTCCGAAACTATGTAGGATTTAATTTGTCCTACAGATGTAATTCTAAAACGTAAACGCAAATACCGCCGATGACAGAGTCCCAAGTGAAACTATAGTTAACAGAAGACAATTCGGTTTTAAACTTTATCTGTTTCTAAACAAAAGAAAACGATTAATTTAGTACAATAAATAAGGAAATTACAATTATCAAGCAGAATGAGCAAACGTACCGGACAGTATAGCGTGTCTTTAGAAAATGAATAAAAAACATGAGTCACAGCAATATAAATAAAATGATAACATCCTTCAATCGATGGACCATTCACAACAAAGAAAGTTTATACATCAGTCAGACTAGATGACGTTCCAGCAGAGGCAATGAAAGCAGATGTGGAAGCAACTGCGAAAATATTTCACATTCTCTTCAAGAAGATTTGGGATGAAGAACAAGTACCATCAGATTGGAAAGAAGGATACCTCATCAAAATACCAAAGAAAGGCGATCTCAGCAAGTGTGAAAACTACAGAGGCATCACTCTTCTTTCAATACCAGGCAAAGTCTTCAACAGGGTATTGTTAAACAGAATGAAGGACTTCGTAGACGCCCAACTTCGAGATCAACAGGCTGGATTTCGTAAGGATCGATCATGTACTGACCAAATCGCTACATTACGGATCATTGTGGAACAATCAATTGAATGGAACTCACCACTCTACATCAACTTCATCGACTACGAGAAAGCATTCGATAGCGTGGATAGGAAAGCACTGTGGAGGCTTCTTCGACACTACGGTGTGCCTGAAAAAATAGTCAACATCATACGGAATTCAACTGCAAAATCGTGCACGGAGGTCAGCTGACAGACTCTTTTGAGGTGAAGACCGGTGTGAGGCAAGGTTGCTTACTCTCACCCTTTCTCTTTCTCCTGGTGATCGACTGGATTGTGAAGACGTCAACATCTGGAGTGAAGCACGGTATCAACTGGACAGTTAGGACGCAGCTGGACGATCTGGACTTCGCAGATGACCTGGCTCTTCTATCGCACACTCAACAACAAATGCAAGAGAAGACGACCAGTGTAGCAGTAGCCTCTGCAGCAGTAGGTCTCAACATACATAAAGGAAAAAGCGAAATTCTCCGATGCAACACAACAGGCACCAACCAAATCACGCTTGATGGAGATGCTTTCGAGGACGTTAACACCTTCACATATCTTGGCAGCATCATCGACGAGAAAGGTGGATCGGATGCAGATGTGAGGGCGCGGATTGGCAAAGCGAGGGCTGCATTTCTACAGTTGAAAAATGTCTGGAACTCCAAACAACTTTCAAACAAAACCAAAATCAAGATTTTCAATACAAATGTGAAGACAGTTCTACTGTGTGGAGCGGAAACATGGAGAACTACCAAAGCCATCATCCAGAAGATACAAGTGTTTATTAACAGCTGTCTACGCAAAATACTTCGTATTCGTTGGCCAGACACCATCAGCAACAACGAACTGTGGGAGAGAACAAGTCAGATTCCAGTGGATGAGGAAATCAGGAAGAAGCGGTGGAAGTGGATAGGACATACACTACGAAAAGCACCCAACTGCGTCACGAGACAAGCCCTCACATGGAACCCTCAAGGCAAAAGGAAAAGAGGAAGGCCAAGGAACACACTACGCCGAGAAATAGAGAAAGATATGAGAGGAATGAAGAAACATTGGACAGAACTGGAAAGGGAAGCCCAGGACAGAGTTGGTTGGAGAAAACTGGTGGGCGGCCTATGCTGGGGGGGGGTAACAGGCGTAAGTAAGTAAGTAAGTAAGACTAGATGACGTGGTGAGCGCTTAACCAATCTGATTGGTTATTTATGACATCATCCTGAATGTCCAATCGATATAAGTCCGCCGAGTCTGTATGAAGTCGAAAAAGCTATAGTAAATCTAAAGCGAGGTAGAGCATCAGGGCCCGATAAGCACAAACCTGAGAATTTTATGGATGGTAGGTAGGTAGGTAGAATTCGGGAACTGTGCGTAATACCATCGGAGTGGCCTCAATCACTGATTGTCCCAGTCTAGAAAAAAGGACAAAAGTCATCTTGTGACAATCACAGACCTCTTGAAGAATAGACTGGGGAAAACCAGGCTGGTTTCAGGATTGGACGTGGATGTATACGCCACTTCCACACCTTGACAGGTCCTAGAACACAGACACATATTTAGGCGTCCAACAATAGTTATCTCCCAGGACCTTAAAGACGCATTCGACTGTGTTAATCGTGAGGTTCTGTGGTAGTGTCTGTCATTGAAAGGTGTACCAAAGATATACAGGCTCTCTACTCGAATATCACTGGTTGAGTAAGAGCTTATGGCGAACTGTGATCGGAATTGATCGCTCTAAGTGATGTCTGTCAGGGTTGTCCACTTTCTCCATTCTTGTTTAACTTTGTCATAGACATGCTTTTAGGGATGACATTATCTTCGACCGACTTTTCAGGGGTGGACCTTCTACCAACAGACACTCTTGTTGACTTAGAATATACCGATGACATAATTCTATTCAGTGAAGACGCTGACGCAATGCAGTTTCTCCTGACTACCATAAGCAACAATGCAAGCATGTTCGGTATGCGATTCTGCCCCGCCGTAATGCAAAATGTTGCTTCAGGATTGGCTAGCATCGGCACCTGGACTAGTGATAGGGAGTGAAGCAGTTGAGCTTGTCGACCGCTTCACTTATCTGGGGAGTCTCATCAGTGCTGACGGCCTGGTGACCGACGAAATCTCAGCACGGATAGAGAAGGTTCGATTGGTTTTTACCGACTTGCGTCACTTATGACACAGGTGAGATATCCGTCTGCTAACTAAAGGACGAGTGTACCGTGCAGCATTTCTCTCCGTCTTAGTTTACAGCTGCGAAACACGGCCGTTAAGAGTAGAGGACTTTTGTAGGTTACTAATATTCGGTCATCGGTTTCTCCGAAGCATTGCTCGTATATCCTGGGACAACTGTGTAAGGAATGCTGTCGTTAGGAATCGAGTACTAGGTAGGGATGGCAAATCAATAGATGAAGTAGTGAAACTTCATCAGTTGAGGTGGTTGGGACATGTGTTACGTATGCACAACCGCCGACTGCCTGGACGAGCGATGTTTTGTGATGTAGGGATAGGTTGGAGGAGAGCTATGGGCGACCAGACCGAGACATGTCAGAAATGCATGAAGTCACTGACAAGTGGAATGAGTCATGTAGGCTACCAGTTCGGGGGTCCGCGAGATGGTATTAATCGATGGTTAGAGACCCTGAATGACATGGCTCAAAACCGTTTGCAATGGCGCCGCTGCATTTATTCTTTGTGTACTCTCAAATCCTAATGTTCTGGATTCTTCAACACCTCTAGTTTTGTCTTTCTAAACTTGTCTCACTGAATCATAGTTCTTGAATAATATCTTCTAATCCTAACCTCTCTGATCACTTCTAATACCTTTACTACCTCTACTACCATTGGATTTTATTGACAATTACATCTGTGTGCTAATGTGGTATGGCAACATGAACTGCTGTACTTCCGTACGAAGTTCTACGTTTCATCTGACTGACTGACTAAACTTCGTGAATAATATCTATCACTTATACTCTCCATTACTGCTAATTCTTCTCTTATCTCTGACACTATGGGGTTTGCACTGACATTTGCGTCTGTGTGCTAATATGGTATGGCAACCTGAACGGATGTACGTACTTACGAAGTTCTACTTCATAATTGACTGACTGACTTTCGTAGTTTTTGCAAATGCTTGTCATTAAAATTGGCATGCAAGTATTTAGTGTGACAATTCTCCGACTTCATTTTAATATTTACCGTAATAAATCGTCTAGATTTCCGTTTTATTCTGTTTAAGTGAATGTAAAATATTAGGCGTTTAAGCTTCTAGTAGTTAGTTACATTACTGCTTTTGGTGTATGTAAACCAATTAAGTGAACCTCTGGAATGTTCTGGTTTATGAACTGTTGCTTTAATCACTAAATACAGTTCAACTATGACTAAAATGTACTGTTATTAATATAGAGTATAAATTAGTATCTATTTCTTGAAGTGTATAAATCGACAAACATTTCACGGATAGTTCATGTACTATACATGTCTTTCTCGACACTGTTGCTGACTAGTGTATGATTAAACTGAAGGAAAAATCTGAAGAAATCAAACTAAAATGTGGGATCAGTTCGTGGAGTCATTTACTGTTGGACAGCTTTGTAGGTACATGCGGACTACTTAGTTGGGTACTCAGGATTAATATAACTAATGGTTAGAATTAAGGACGTTGGATTACATGTTTTAGAATCGGTCACAATACATCATATTCATTTACTCTTTCTCTCCTCTTAAATTTTGCTTTTCAAGATAGTCTTATTTTTTTATTTTGCGGATTCGTCATTTCTAATCCAACCATACTATATCTGCTTAGTTTTTTCTACTGTCGCTGATACTCTTGCTACTTGACTACTCTAGAGTTGGCTTAAATAACTTCATTTCAATATACTAAGTTTTGTCAAACGGATGCATTTGTACTTCTGTAATTGTCGTTTTTTTTGTTTATAATAGGAACTGGATTTTATTGAAGGTCAACAACGTGAATTGGAAAGTTTACTGGAACCATTAGAACGTGCAGTGAATGAATTACCACCGGGTCAGTTACATTCAGATTATGAACGTGAAGCTATATTTCAACTGGCTACAAATGTTGACTTAGAGTTAGGTCAACTGTTGACTGATTTACGTGAAATAGTCGACCAAACAAACACTACAACAATGAATGTTACTACTGTTCTACAGTCATCGGGTAATAGTACAACCACCAAGGAGAATAGTATGATAAATGGTAATAGTAAATTGACTTTATCAAATAAAGGGGATATTATAAATCAAATTACACGTATTCTGAATTGTCATATGCATTCGCTCAATTGGATTCACCATAACACACGTAAGTGTCTTCCAACGTTATAATTTATGGAAAGCATATTTATGAAGACCAATATTAGGTGTTTACCTAGAAACTCATGCGTACTAAATTCCTACTCGCACCTGTCATATGAAGGTTACTTATTTTACCCAAATATTTCAACTTTAATAGATGAAATCAGAAGAGAAGTGATTCAGAAAATACCTAAACATTTGGTCATCACCAATTAGTATAAAAACTGTGAGGTTGCATACAAATTACATCCGTAAATAGTCGACAGTGAGCGACCAATCGAAATTAAGATACCTTATGTTGAATATTAAATATTGAGTATTCAGTAATAAATTATTACTCGATTACTTATTGTACTAGAGTAAGTAAGATGTGATGAATTACAAAATTTGGACCAACAGGCACTCAGCTTACTGATTAATAAATGTGTAGTTTCCTTTCCTAATATTGATTTCCCCTCTAGACTTGCTGAGAGACTGCTCGTAATTGCGTTGAATAAAGCAGCGTCTAACGTTACTCTGGTTCCCTGTTTTTGATCGTGAATGGCGTATGTGATATAACGTGATCTAGTCTGTGTATAATGGATTGCTCGAGTATTTAATCGTCCGGTATTATAAATTTGATCACCCAGTCCATTTTTATTACTATGCTAGCGTAGTCTGCTGCAGACAGTATTAAAAATTCGTCCGTTATGTCATTGTCCGTGCCAAAGTAGATTAAAAGCAAAGTTCGAACATGCGATCTACCAGTTGGAAACCTATTGGAATTTAACTGCTAAGTTCACCACTCAATATTTTTGCATAATTATCTCGTCGTAGTGGGTAAGACCTACTAGGGATAAATCACTCAATAAATTCATAAGTGCAATGAATAAGTGGCATTAGGACTAGTAGAATTAGCAGTAATAAGATTTAAAATTTCTGGATTGTGTTCCTTACAAAATGAACGATGCTCACTGTTATGGCGAGAGTTCATTATTCAGTAAAAACAGGGCTAATGTTTATCTGCTTCTCTTGTCAGTAGTTCTCCATTTATATATCAGTATTAATATTTATATTAGGAACAATCTGTTTGGATATAAATTGGTTGATTTGACTCTCGATAATTTTCTTAAGAACTCATCTTTTTTGTAGTCAAATATGTAGTTAACCTTCGTCTCTGTTTTTCTTGTATTTTTTTCTTTCACAGAAGAAATAATGGATCGTTTAAAGGTGTTGAATGGTGTTTCATAATAAAGTGACCTCAGTTTAGATTGTCCAAATGTTAATAATGAGGATATATATGTATAAACGCAATTTTTGTTGTTATTTTGACAATAAAGATTATTTTGATTTAATTATATAATTCTGTTCTGTTTTACATTTATTTATAAAGCTTTGCGACTGTTTTGAATGTATATACTCATACCATTGATTGACTTCAGTTATGAGGAAACAAAAACATTATACAATGAAGCTGAAAATATAGTCTGATCCTAACTTAAATTTATTCCATTGTGATACTTTCTACTTTTCTTTGAGAATAGTTTAATATGTTCACACATATACTGCACCCATTTCTCATATATTAATTTTTAAATGAGCGTATTGATGGTTCTTAATGTAAATATATGAATGTTTATATAGAATGTGGCTACCAGTAAAATACAAGACACATTTCGTCCTATTTTGGATTCGTCAGCCGGATATATCTCAAGAAGATTTGGGAAGAGGAACAAGTACCATCAGATTGGAAAGAAGGATACCTGATCAAAATACCAAAGAAAGGCGATCTCAGCAAGTGTGAAAACTACAGAGGCATCACTCTTCTTTCAATACCAGGCAAAGTCTTCAACAGAGTATTGTTAAACATAATGAAGGACTTCGTAGACGCCCAACTTCGAGATCAACAGGCCGGATTTCGTAAGGATCGATCGTGTACTGACCAAATCGCTACATTACGGATCATTGTGGAACAATCAATTGAATGGAACTCACCACTCTACATCAACTTCATCGACTACGAGAAAGCATTCGATAGCGTGGACAGAACAACACTATGGAGGCTTCTTTGACACTACGACGTGCCTGAGAAAATAGTTAACATCATACGGAATTCTTATGATGGATTCAACTGCAAAATCGTACACGAAGGACAGCTAACAGACTCTTTCGAGGTGAAGACCGGTGTGAGGCAAGGTTGCTTACTCTCACCCTTTCTCTTTCTCCTGGTGATCGACTGGATCATGAAGACGTCGACATCTGGAGTGAAGCACGGTATCAACTGGACAGTTAGGACGCAGCTGGACGATCTGGACTTCGCAGATGACCTGGCTCTTCTATCGCACACGCAACAAGAGAGACGACCAGTGTAGCAACAGCAGCCTCTGCAGCACCAAGTCTCAACATACATAAAGGAAAAAGCGAAATTCTCCGATGCAACACAACAGGCACCAACCAAATCACGCTTGATGGAGATGCTTTCGAGGACGTTAACACCTTCACATATCTTGGCAGCATCATCGACGAGAAAGGTGGATCCGATGTAGATGTGAGGGCGCGGATTGGCAAAGCAAGGGCTGCATTTCTACAGTTGAAAAATGTCTGGAACTCCAAACAACTTTCAAACAAAACCAAAATCAAGATTTTCAATTCAAATGTGAAGACAGTTCTACTGTATGGAGCGGAAACTTGGAGAACTACGAAAGGCATCATCCAGAAGATACAAGTGTTTATTAACAGCTGTCTTCGCGAAATACTTCGGATTCGTTGGCCAGACACCAGCAACAACGTACTGTGGGAGAGAACTGTTGGGATAGCCATTCGAGAAGAAAGCCACGCACATTGTGGATTGATGAACTATATGAATAATGTTCTTGATGAAGTATTTGATTAATGTTCATGATAAACTATTCGATTAATGCTGAACTATATGATTAGTGTTCATGATGAACTATTTGGTTCATGTTCAAAATATTTAACGACATTTATATAATTGTATAAATACGCATGTTTGATTGTACATTTTTGATTCTGATAATAAGCGTTCTCCAACGTCTTCCGTCTTTTTATTTTTGGACGGAGGGGTCTAACGTTCGGTGTGTCATTAGTACAGTGGTTTGGCGTTACATCAAGTACAAAACATAAAAGTGGCGACGGGAAAAAAAAACCCATATCCACAAAACATAAAAAGAACAAACCAGATTCCAGTGGAGGAGGAAATCAGGAAGAAGCGGTGGAAGTGGATAGGACACACACTACGAAAAGCACCTAACTGCGTCACGAGACAAGCCCTCACACGAAACCCTCAAGGCGGAAGGAAAAGAGGAAGGCCACCGAACAAATTGCGCCGATAAATAGAGAAAGATATGAGAGGAATGAACAAACATTGGACAGAACTGGAGAGGGAAGCCCAGGACAGAGTTGGTTGGAGAAAACTGGTGGGCGGCCTATCTATGCTCCATCGGGGGTAACAGGCGTAAGTAAGTAAGCCGGATATATCTGCGTCTGAGTCGATGTCCACGCTGACGCTCAAACCTAGTATCGTTTGAATCAAACGCCGTCGCGTCACCCACTTAGCTACTGGGTCCAGATAGCTACTCACTCTTACAACGGATATTCGACACAATTCAGTTTGAAATGGTTTCGGTTATCCCATTGTTGAAATTTTGACTGAAATTTGATCAGTCTTGATTGTCACATGAATGTCCTATGTTGATTGCCTCCATATACTGGCTGCTAGCTACATTCTATTCATTCTATATAAACTTGTGTCGAACTGGCTATATCGAGGTAATCTGCATAGGATGCCGTATGTAGACCAAGACTGATCGAATTCAAATCTAAGTATCAACCACTGGATAATCCAGACCGCTTCAAATCGAATATGTTTGTTCGTTGAGAAAATGTTGTAATCGAGAGTGATTATTGAACAACCGTTTCACTATCTGATACTATGACCGTTCAGTAGCCTAGAAATCACAACAATAATAATGACAGTAACTGTAAGGTATGTGGATAAGTTTGTTAAGTGTTTTTGTCTTTAGTTAAATGTATTCTAGGGGGCAATAGTTATGTTGGTTTATTTATAGAACAAAGTACAGCACACTTAAATTGGCATAATGATAAATCTGATTGAATGACTTGACGTAGGTGTTTATTTATCTTAAACTGTAACATCACACCTTTTATGCAAGAGCATATAACCATAGAAAGTTCAAACATTTGTAGTTCTTTACGTTTACTTCTCTCCCATGAAATCCTGATGCTAACTAAACCAGTGCGCTCAAATCTCAGGATTGATAATTTTTTTGGTTTAAAATCACATAATTGAATTTTTATTACGTAAAATATAAAATAACTATTATTTCCATCTTTGTTAGCTTCCTAAATGATGTCTATGCTTCAGTTTCTATGAGAATGAAATAACAGAGCTTTCTGTAAGTAGTAAACTTAGCAGTTCACTGTAGACAGTTTAAAGAATCAGGGTGTTCTGTTTTGTACATGAAATAGAGCATTCCCCAATTTGACATACCCTAGCACTAATCTGATGTTTTACGCTCAGCGATTAGGTCTTTTGTGGTACGTATATTTGTTCACATATTATGTTCCTTAACACTTAGGTGAATTATAGTAGCTTATTGCGTTTCTTGGGTTGATTACTACATCTCAAGAGAATATTCAACTTACGTTGGATAGTTATCAACAAATTTATTTTACTCGATTCATGCGTCCCAAAGCAATACTGATCAGCTCTGCATTTCAACTTGCGAACAATCTTTTAAAGTGATACTGAGACATGTATTATTATTTATGTAGATAAAAAGTGTTAATATCAACATAATTTGTTTTTCAGTGAGTTATATTTCGATATAAATAAATAATTAATTCACATATTACCTCCAGAAATAATTGTTCATCTGTAGCTTCAATAGATAAGCAATTGATTTCTCCATTCTCACAATATTTTGAACATCTATGAAATTGATTTATTGTATCTATATAAATGGTTACTTTGTTGTCAGAAGGGGCATCGGCCTCGTGACTTCCGAAGAAACTCGGCTTTCATCATGAGTGAAGACCTTTTGACTCATAGGGCAGAGTTAAATGGTATTATTCATTTTTCCTGGCGAGCGGATTTTTATCGATTTGGTTTTCTACTGGATGGGGTCTCTAGTCCCCTTCCTTTATCCGGGCTTGAGACCGGCAGCAACTCCGGGAGGGCTTTAGGCGGAGTTATATCCATAAAATACGTAAAATAAAAGGACTAGCATAGAACTGCATTTCTAGTGCTGTTCAGTTAGTTATATTGCTATAATTATCCCAGAAAATTTTGTTGCTTTATCTTAATTTTGTCAACAAATTCTTGATGTTCTTTAAAACTCATCGCGCTAACGTGGTAATATATACATTCTACTCTAATTGTCTGAGTCTTGCAACTTAGATTTCTAGCCATAAAATATATCGTATTACTGAATGACTCAATTATTGTTTTTTTTGAGGAGTGAAACGCCTGTCAGTATTCATGGATAAGATTCAGTGTGACTAACGATTAGATCTGACCAAATTATTGTGCACGTCATTATTGACACCATGATTCTACATAATATTCCTTCTTCAATTTGAAAGCAATAAGTTTATGAGCAGTGTTGATTCGTGTTATTGAATGGCAAATCCATAAATATGACCAGCAAACAATAGGGTTCGCGATTAACCTCGTTCCTGAAGAATGGAGATATACGTGTGTATAGGATATTTATTCGTAGTCTAATGTATCATGCTTGCTTAAAACAAATGATCCGCGTGAATAACACTCACATAGTGTATGGTCCGAAAACATTAATCATAGAAGTATACGAATTCTGCTAGCAAGAACATTGTCAGAAAGTGATATTTTTGTATGTGAATCTCTCAATTGAATTACATTTCCAATTAGTTCGATTAGTATAATGTTGTCCGTAGATATTGCTACATATATAAACGTTGAACATTAAAACTTTCTCAGGATTGATCTAACGTCAAATGAGTAAACAGCTTTCTACTCCTATTTCTCTAACTTTTTTCTGCCCATATCTCTAAATAACTGACAGCCTGTTATATATATTATTGCGACCAGTATGGAATTGTTAAGAAATTAAGTTTTGATTGAATGGCTAATTTTCTTAAAATTTGATATTTGCTTCTCCGGTGATCGAAACTATTTTTAATACACAGCACGCTATTGACTCGTAAATAACTAACGAAAATAAGTAGGTCGTTTTACCGTTTATCAGGTTTAAAGATATATGTCATATTACTCCGATTTATTCTGATCGTAACAAGAAATAACAATTTCGCGCACTGTCAATTGTACCGTTTCCGGGTGGTGAATTCATTTTAAGTGTTCATTATTTTGTAAAAGGAACAACAGATTTTCTGTGCACTTTTTAATGTTGGCTGGTTTTATGTTATTCACAGTGGGGCATGATGTTGGTTTAAAGTTCATTTTATTTCTCCTCTTCTCCACTAACAGAGTAATGACTTCTGAAGATGATGGTAGTTACAAGACATTGGGATTACCTACTCAACCATACTGTCGTATTCATTGCCATCAGTCAGCTGTACGTGCAGCACGTTTTAATGCAGATGGAAATTATTGTATGACTGCTGGTGGTGATAAAACGATAAAATTATGGAATCCATATAATTTTCATTTATTAAAAACTTATGCAGGACATGCAGGTGAAGTTTCTGATGTGCAGGTGAGATCTTATTACATAGATTTACTGAAAACGTTTATCAGCGCAATAATATTAGTACTTCGTTAACTCAGTAACTGTGTGCACGTACTGTAATTTATGAAGGCTAACAATTTTAACTGGATATCAAAACGTTAAAGGAGTTTTCAGTGGGTGTGGTATATTTTATTACTGTTATTATTACTATCCTATCGCCTTCTCTGATGACTAAACACAGGTCGGAATATATTAATTAGTCTATATTCAACCAGTCAGCACTGGGGGACACATGCTCGGTTTAAAGAAACTACATTACACAATAGCTATATAGTCCATAAATTATAAGTATCTATCACTTCTATTACTTAAGGTATTCTGAGAATTCTGTGTAAAAAGCCAATTTTATCGTTCTGTTATTTAATTGGTCGCTACCCTGATCGATTTTCACCAGTAGATCAATGGCTTACTGATATGGACTTGTTATGGAATAAGATTTTATGGTTTGGTGAATGAATTTTCTGTTATTAAGATGAGTGGAAAAATTTCCACTCATTAGATTAAATGTAACGATACGAAGTTATCGAGCGATAACTAACGTTAGAAGATAAGAACACTAGCCAGAATTTTTTCCGTGATAAAATATCCCCATACGCAGAATAAACATGATATAATATTAAGTGGAATTGTCGAAAACCAATTTTGTGGATCACTTGCATTACTACCACTTAAGACCACTGCCCATCATATCATTTTAGAACCTTTTAGTTTGACACATTGAGATCTCACTACACGTAATTTGGTTTAATCTAACTGCCACACATAACAGAATCACAATCATTGATAGAAATCGGTTCTTCAATAGGGACCGGAAATATGTATGTATTCACTGAACTACCAAACTAATTTTGTTCTTGGATGTTCACTTAATCCATTTTTTCATAAATACTTTGTTTTTTTAACACAGGCAGGTAAAGATAATAGTCAACTTGGTTCAGGTGGAGCAGACTGTTTAGTTATATTATGGGATGTTGCTACAGGGCAATCTGTTCGTCGATGGCGTCGTCATGCTGGACGTGTGAATTCTGTTCTGTTCATTGCACCATTTCATAATTCGGATGCATTAGATCCTAGCCCAATTTTATTATCTACTGGTGTAGATGGGATGGTTCTAGTTTGGGATGCTAGAGCACGTACTCCCTATCCAGTTCAGGTACATGTTATTAATTGAACCAATTATCATTTAAAGTAATCGATATAATGAGAGCCATACACAATACTACATCACTAGAGCGTAATCGAGATATAGAATACCACTTGAAGTAATCGATTCCGATGACAGTTTGCCTTTGAACTCTCACTCGACTAGTAGTGTTAGAGTAGAGTGCTTATGTAAAGTTAATGTACTTCTCTGGTACACCTTTCAATGATAGGCACTACCACAGAACATCACGATCAACAGATTCAAATGCCACTTTGAGGTTCGGGAAGACAACTATTGTCGGACGCCTAAATATGTGTCTGTGTTCTAGGACCTGTCGAAGTGTTGATATTTGGCGTATACATCCACGAGCTCTATCTATGCGCCGAAGTATTATTGAAGCAAATATTCTAGACATTGTTACTTAAATTGATTCATCTGTGATTGTCACAAGAGGACTTTTGCCCTTTATTGTAGACTGGGACAATTAGGGATTGAGACCAGTCGAATTCTATTACCCCCAGTTCCCAGAATCCACCTAAGATTTCAGTCAATCTTCCTCGCTTCAAATTCCCCATAGCTTTCTCAACTTCATAAGGAGTAGGAGGACTGATATCGATTTGCTCTTCAGATTGAATTGAGATCGTGGGCAACCGAAGTGTGGCTGAAGGCCAGTTGAACTGATCCTTGGAGTGTTCTGCCCGTCAATCGAATCTCCTGTATTGAGAATGAATATCAGTCCCATCCTTTTCCGAGATAGTTTCGTTAACAGATGGATTTCTTATACTCGTTTCCTTGATAAGTCGGAACAACTGTTGACTGTCGCCTCTGCCTTTTCCATCTCCTTCGCTTTAACCACCCACCACTGTTTGCGATCACTGTGGAGGCTTTTTATCAGTCTGTGCTTAAGGTGACCCCGCTGTTCTTCACGTTCAAGGCCAAATGAGATGAGTTTTTGAGCATCTATCAGTTCAGTAGATGCTACTGAGATCCACTGTTTCTCCCTAACCTTATGGTTCGCCTTACTGGCGGATATCACTGATGTTTTCACAGCATTATGCATACCATCCTAACCTGCCCCAGGGTGGGCATCACCTACTACATGGATGCCTAACGGGTTTTCTAGTTGTTCCTGAAATATATTCCTAGCTTTCTTATCATTAAGTACAACCCTAAGAGGTTTACTTGCGATGTCATTACTGTATCCATTGAGACACAAACAAATACACGCTCGTACTTGAGTATTGCCTGAGTCTAAACAAGTGCGCCAGAAGGAGCGACAATCTTCAATAGAGCCTCTCCACTGATGGATTATAGCCATGTGATCTACTTGGGTCCAAAGTTGTGTCGGCTTTGGTGGTCGCCAGGCCAAGAGATGATTTACCTTATGCTTAAAGCTAGTGTTTGCTAGAAATAGGCGTTTATCTGAGCATAGCTGTAGCAGATGGTCGCCATTATCTGTTCAGTTAGCGGCGACACCATAAGATCCACCCAAGTGTCTTTCACTCCCACTAAGTCTGCCTACTTGAGCATTAAAGTCATCAACCATTATTACTATATCTACTACTATGCGCGACGTGGCTACTTGAAATTTTACCGATTGACCAAATTCAGATATTCCAGTACGACTACAAATACTGTTCCCCAAATCTTCAATATTTCAGAACACTACACCGTTAGATGAAAGTTGTGTACAGGGTGAGAATAAAGAATAATCAAATTTTACGGACAATGCATATTTATACAGTTCGGAGGACCGTGAATATCGGCCATTAGGAAACGACATGTGAAATTTGTTAAAATTCTAGAAACATGTGAAAACATATGATCGTACGTCCAACTATAGAATTGGACTTACAATATAATTTTTGGGATATTTTTATGAATATCCGAACAGTATGAGAGCGCTTAACTTTTGAAAGTAAGTTAGAAAGTTTCTGTAGAACTCGTCTTTTATCTCATCCGATCTGCAGTCAGTGTGGGCGTAGGCAGAGACAACAAATAGGCAACGGCGAGTTTCCCTATCTTTCCGAGTACTTACTGCCCCGTTTAGTCAGACAGCGCACAATCAACTGTCCACTAGGATCCAGTATTAGAGAGCTTAATACCATGCATACACCATCGAAGCGACGGGAAGCAGCAGCAGGTCTTTCGGATGCATGGAGCGTAGACTGAGTTGATTCTTTATCTGGACACATTGAAGTCAGATTAATGATTTTTGTCGGACCCTGTATGCGCTTTCCGGAGACGCAGCATACATCGATGTCATGGGATTCCAGAGTCCTTGATAAAGGAAGCCTTTTGACCAATTTGACACAAGGGTCGAACATTAAAAGCTCTGATGTATAGTTTAGGACGAGGTTTCAGAATACTATGATATAACGTTTCGTGAGCTCAAAATGTTTGCATCAGTGGTGCCAGGTGGCTAAAGAACGAAAGAAGTTTTGGTCGTGAAGATAAGCGAGTTATTAGGAGGTGTAGAATAGATCTGATTGTGACCAATTTGGTCTCGTGTACTTTTATATGTATGCGGGCGGATGTTACTTCTCGGCTAACCACACCATGGAAGTGCTCTGGTTGTCGGGAAGGGCATCGGTCTCGTGACTTCCGAAGGGATTCGACTTTCATCATGAAGGTCTTCTAAATGAAGACCTAACTCCCAGAGCAGAGTTTAAATTATTTTTCTTGTTTATCGTTTTTTAGCAAGTTAGTTTTCTATGGGCTGGGTTCACTAACCCCAAGCTCAACCCTCCTTTATCCGGGCTAGGGACCAGCAGTAGCCCTTGAGGGGCTCTAGGCGAAGTTTTGAGAGTAGAATATTTCAATCGATATGACGTTTAGTGACCCAAAGGTCTGGCATTCTAGTGTGAATTACTTGAACGTGCTGTGTTGTTGAATTGCATAAAAAATATCTTACTCATATATCAGCTACAAATATTGCTATGATTTGTCATTGTATGAATGAATATTCAATTGTTTTTCTAACCATCAATGCATATATGATCAAAGCAACCTGTTATTGGTCAGTATTGTAGACAGACATATCTAGCTACACTAAACTGAAATATACTGCACTTTCGATTTCAATTACTTTCTACCTCGTATTGTGAGTCAACTCTTATCTCATTTTCTATCTGATGGTCCAATTGTTCATTGACTGAAGATCACGTGATGAGTTACCACGACCTAGCATTAGTAGTATGAAAAACTCAATTCTTTTTCTGTCCAGTTGTTTAATGTCTTTGGTATTAGTGAATACATTTGAAGTGATTACTAATTAATGAATCTTTACTATCCCTACTTTTACTGTTTGATATTTTTCTTTTTAGACTATTCATGAGGCACGTGACAGTGTCACATGTTGTACATTTCGTCGACATCAAATTGTTACTGGTTCTGTTGATCGATGTGTTCGCACGTACGATATTCGACGAGGTTAGTGGAAATCTGCTCTAAAATGTCTTACCATGGAAGAATTCCTCTATTTGGTATATTCCCCGTCTCTTTCTTTAGGAGCCATTATATGTGTTACTAATAAAGTAACTAAATCAAAAGTATGAAATTCAATTTATTAGCGGTTAGTGTAGTTCTCTCAGTCAGTCAGTTAGATGCAACGTAGAACTTCTTGCGTAAGTACATCAGTTCATGTTGCCATACCAAATCAGCACAGAGATATAATTTTCAATTCAAATCCAATAGTAGTAGAGGTAGTAAAAGTATTAGAAGTAATCGGAGAGGTTAGGATTAGAAGATATTAGTCAAGAAGTATCAGATAAGTTTAGAAAGAAAAAAACTAGAGGTGTTGAAGTATCCAAAAGATTAGGTTTTGACAGTACACAAAGAATAAATGCACCGGCGCCATTGCAAACGGTTTTGAGCCATGTCATTCAGGGTCTCTAACCACCGATTATTATCATCTCGCGGACCCCAACCAGGTAGTCGACAACTACCGACATGATTCAGTCCACTTGTCAGTGACTTCATGGATTTCTGCCATGTTTTGGTTTGGCCGCCCCTAGCTTTCTTCCAACCTATTCCTACACTACAAAACAAAGCTCGACGAGGCAGTCGGTGGTTGGGCATACGCAACACATGTCCCAACCATCTCAACTGATGAAGTTTCACTACTTCTTCTATTGATCTGCCATTCTTACCTAGCACCCGATTCCTAATAACAGCGTTGCTCACTCGGGTGTCCCACGATATACGAGCAATGCTTCGAAGACACCTATGATCGAAAACCAGTAACCTACGAATATCTTCTACTCTCACTGGCCATGTTACATAGCCATAAAGTAGGACGAAGGGAACTACTGCGCACTACATCCGTCTTTTATTCAGCAAACGGATATCTCACCTTCGCTATAAGTGACGCAGGTTGGCAGAAGCCAAATGAGCCTTCTGTATCCGTGCTGAGATTTCGTCAGTCACAAGGCCATCAGCACTGATGAGACTACTGAAAGAAGTGAACTGGTCTACTGACTTCTTCACTCCCTATGAAATGTAGTTCTCTAGACAGATTGAATCGGTCTAAAATGTGATGAAATTTTTGTGATTCGACTACTATGATTCTACATTTCAAATTGACAAGCAATGTAATTTAAGATTATGTTTGACACTATACTCATAGAGGATTCCCTGCATATCATTTTCGAAGTAAATATGATGCGTAAATATTTCGCCTTTTCTTGTAAGTTCAAGGTTGGCAGAATGAAATGAATTTATTATTTCAAGACTTCTCATCAGCTACCAAAACAGCCTAAAATGACAACAATTTACAAAGTTTTGTGAATTTATAATAAATGTCCAAAACAGAATTAAAAGTTGTGATCAGAGGAACTGGATGCTAAATGTGTTGAAACAATGATATTGCGTTATCATATTTACGAAAAATTAATATTAAGAAGAAACGTTCACATCCTTAGAATCAAATTTAAATGAATATGTGAGTATCAATATGAATGCATAAGAGATAAACGATTACGACTAAATTCACCGTACCAATGAAAGTCTTTTTGGCTATATTAGTCTAAGTTGGAAAGAGTAGAAATTACCTCTACAAAACGGAGAATAATTGGCGTTTTTAATCAGTTTTATTGCTCTTCTAATATCTACCTTCACTAAACACTTGTAGTTTGTAATGATGCTACTGCCTTAGGTTTCTAGGACAGTGTTCAGGAAACCTTCTTTTCAACTACATACTTGCTACCTGAAGTACATACAAACTCATAAATGTGTTGCGGATGTTAGATCCCCAAAACTCGCTTGTTAAATGCCTTATTTTGGATTTCACTGTACGTAATCCCATCTGACTGGTCCCAATCCTCGATTGTCCCAATTTATAAGAAAGGACAAACGTCTTCTTGTGACAATCATAGATGAAGCAGTCTAACTAATATAGTTATTAAATTATTAGCCTCCATTATACTTAGACGCCTTACTAGTGCTGCTGAAGAGGAGACTAAAGAAAACAAGGCAAGTTTCAGACCTGGACGTGGCTGTAGAGACCACATCTTCACACTACGACAGGTCCTAGGACACACGCATATAGGCGTCCTACAATAGTTGTCTTCCTGCAGCTTAAGGCGGCATTTGACTCTGTGGATCGTGACGTTCTGTGTCAGTGTCTGTCATTGATAGGTGTACCAAATAAGTACATTAACTTTATGCAAGCTCTGTACTCGAACACCACTGGTCGAGTGAGAGCTTATGGTGAACTTTCATCGGAATTCTCTACATCAAGTGATGTCTGTCAGAGATGTCCACTTTCTTCATACTTGTTCAATTTGTTCATAGACATGCTACTAGATATAACATTATCTTCGTCTGAATTTCCATCAGTAGACCTTCTACCAGGAAAATCGCTTGCTGACTTAGAATATGCCGATGACGTAGTCCTACTTGGTGATGACGCTGACAAAATGCAGAGCCTTCTGACTACTACCCTAAGCAACAATGCAAGTATGTTCGGTATGCGATTCTGCCCCGCCGTAATGCAAAATGTTGCTTCAAGATTGGGTTGCATCGGCACCTGAACTAGTCATTGGGAGTGAATTAGCTGAGCGTGTAGACCGCTTTACTTATCTGGGAGTCTCATCAGTGCTGATCGCCTGTTGACTGACGGAATCTCAGCACGGATAGAGAAGGCTCGATTGGCTTTTGCCAACTTGCGTCACCTATGGCGCAGGCGAGATAACCGCTTGTTAACCAAAGGACGAGTGTACTGCGCAGCAGTTCGCTCCTTCCTACTGTGCGGATGCGAAACATGGCCGTTAAGAGTAGAGGACATCTCACTGAATTATACTTGTTGAATAATATCTTCAAACCCTAGTCCTCTTCATGACCATTAATATCTCTACTATCTTATCACAATGGGATTTGATTTGACATTTGCGTCTCTGTGCTAATGTGACATGGCAACATGAACCTATGTACTTACGTACGAAGTTCTACGTTGCAACTCACTGACTGACATTCAATTTGCAGCTTTCATCATTATGTTTTCGTTGCGTAAATCTGTAAACTGTTTAAGCTGTATCTAATTATTGGTAATCTTTCATATTATAATTAATGTTTAATATCTTTTATCTTTGTTAATTGGGCGATATGAAAAATTATAGGTGAAATGACTGAAGATTATGTTGGGTATCCAGTTACATCAGTTTCACTTACCATGGATTGTCAATGCTTCCTAGTTGGTACGCAAGATTCAACTTTACGTTTGTTTGATGCATTAACTGGTGAATTGCTTAACAGGTACACTGGACATACCAATCAAACATATAAGTGAGATAATTGTTTCAAGAAAGTTAATTTAAATGCGTCTGTTTATTGTTGATGTGTATTTGACTTAAAGCACCCACTTTACTATTCACTGATGAAATATTTTATGCAGTTTTTAAACTTCCATTTTAATATTTTTCAGGCCGTGTTATGAGGTTATACATCTGACAGCAGCTCAGTAAAACTCTTTCTACTATCTGAAGTTTCGTCAGGCGACATTAACCAGACTAGGAATCACACTGCTACTGAACTGTCGTTTTCCTTGACGGTGCGTGAAAAACTCCACGATCAGTTTTTCTCACTACTCTGACATTCCTATTAGTGGAATAACGGAGATTATAGCTAACCTTACTTAGCTTCGTATCCCGTGATTTGTTTTGCCATCTCTCCTCCCAGTTTCAGCCAAAGGATACTGGAAAGGATTTATCAGCTATCTACTTGTATTGATAATATCCAAAGATGCATATCCTCTGAATTACTAGGATTGTAGTATCTCACCATTCGTTCGTTGTATTTTAATAATTAGTCGTTCAAATTATTCGATAATTGTATCGACCATAATTTTTTATTTGTAATGATTCGATTACAGTATAGATTATTGCATATCTAATTGTGTGTGGATGCTTTATCGCTTATTAAATGTCCAGCCTATTATTTCTTGACTATAAATACTTGAATGATCTTCAGCTCATGGAGAGTTGGCTCACTCGCCTTCTCCAATTCGCTTCGTTTCACTTGCACGCTTACCTTCTCGTGTCGTTGTCACAATTTCTTTATTATTCAAGATATTTAATGATTGATACAAATATCGGATTTAATTCAAATATGTATAGTCGATATTGCCATCGAATTATTTAAACTGTTAATCGATAAAGCCAGTCAAATAATTATGTGTAGGTGGTAAGTAATGCCCAAGCATACATGCGCATACAAGCTGAACAATGATAAAAGTATGAAATATATGTGAGATGCTACATCTGAAACAGTTAGCAGTGCGCGTCCTTGACCCCCATGTACGGTAACTGAACCTAGCGCCTTAAATCTCACGCGCGAAAACTTAACGTCTGGACCACTGACTAGCATACAACAGTGTTAATGTGTCACTTCAATCAATGCACGATACTGCTCGACCCCATCCATTGTCTTCGGTGGGTAATTGCCTCATATCCGACAATAAAATTCTGTTGTTTAGTTAGATACAAGTTATAACTGAGTTATTTTACTAATTTTCAACCGATCTTCATAATTTGTTTCATTTTCCTTTACTACAGAATGGATAGTGCTCTGATGAATCTAGATCGTCATATAGTCAGTGGTTCAGAAAAGAATAGTCTTGTTTTTGTATGGGATTTCATACGTTCAGATGTACCGATTCATACACTAGACCATCACCCTAGTGGCAGCGCATGGGGTATTTTATCTCCACACAATCCGGAACCAGTTGGTGAATTGATCATTGAAAATGCTAAATCACTAAGTTTTATGATTCACTCACTGTCACCACATCCTAAACAAAGTAAATTACTTACAGCAGGTGGTGATTTTGTTTGGTTATGGGATGCTGAATCTAAGGTTGTTGAAGAAAATGAATAGAGATCTGTAGATATGATTTGGTTCGCACATATATTTTGTCTTGAAAATTCGATGTAAATATTTCTCCACCTGAGGACTCTATAATCGATGCGGGTTAAAGGTTATAACATAAAATCCCTGTTGTCATTGTATCTGTGCTATACAATTTCTCATTGACCCATTATTTATTGGTGAATAAAACTTTTACCTTCCTTTTACACAATCTAAAGCAATTACTTCGTATTTAACCATTTTAACTAGAAACAGGGATGTTGAATTAGTCTGCTTTTTAAGCTAAAATATATGGAGCGATTGGAGGATAGAAACGTGGTAGACTATGGAACTGTCGATGATTAATTGGAATTACTTGTTCATCGTTAATTAGCTTCGTGATGTTAACCATAACCTTTTAATTGTAATGACTGCTATCTAGCAAGTTTTGTATTCTTAATAACAAGATAGAGCTATCTGAAATCGGTAACATGTACTGTGAATTTTAACAGGCCGCTTGGAAAAAGCATCCTCGAAACAACTACCATTTAGATATACTGACCAAATGAAAAGTCCATGTTATACTAATCAAAATAATTAGTCAAAAGCGGTTTTCTCCTGGTAGATATACATGTATGTACTTATGCATGTGAATCGGTTTAGCCCAGTAAACTTCCTTCCTCACTCTTAGTCTTCTCATTTGCTGGCTGGCCGGGGTCTTATGTGCAGGAGGACACTACGCGTCATCGCTAAAGACTACATAAATGCTCTTTAAAATTTCAGTAAGATTAACAAATCCCTAACAGGTAAGTAAAGTAGCATTGATAATAAGTAGTTGGGTGACAAAGACTGTTAATTTATTCCGAAAGCAATTTCAAAAGTGTAATACTATCAAAGTCTGAACTGTATATACAGTTCAAAAGAAGCCCTACTGAAATCTACGGGTAAATGAAGTTTTCATATTGCGTGTTAGCGCATAACATAGAAAGTTTACATATCACCGAACTGATAAAATTCCTGTTTTGGAATACGATCAATCTAGAAGATGTTTATTGTGATCTCACACCGATTGGCCAGATCCTGAAACAACTACTTAAATGGTGTTTGTACGCCTAAATTTGATGTATACACTTATTCACTGGAAAACAGCTGCTACCCAAGTTTCATACTATTCTCTCCTCAGTTCATCTCAGTAATTGCAATCAATTTAATGTAATCAGATTTTCCCATTTTGCTACCACTTAATGGTTTCATCAATCAAATTACAATTAAAATTTTAGAGAGAGTGCTAAAAAACGGTCTCCTTTAAGGAATTATGTGACTTGATATTAAATCAGTAACTTGCGCAAACTTTGTTCATAACTTATGACTACTAAGTACATTATTCCCTTATACAGAAAGTAACATGAAAATCTTTAACTAAATTAAATCTATCACAAAAACCGCTTTACTTTAAATAAATAAACTAACTTTAGCTGGTGTCTCTTACACGTATGTTTTTAATAAAGAGAAATGCTGATTACAGATATTTAGCTTCAATGACTCAAAAATTAATAAAAAGACGGGAAGTTAGAAAAATACAGCAGCAAATATAGGTAAGTGGTAAAAGTATACTTTTGTGAGAAAGCATTTAGTTTCTTATTCGAATAAAAATATATTTTGTACCTTAAAAGATAAAGAATTTTCAGATTCTAGTGTTATCTCCATGCTACTTTTTTCATTGGTGAAGAATATTCAGTCACAGTGTAGATCACAGGTGACATGTTTATCTTCCATTGATTTTCTTTACAGTGGTAACATCTTCCACTACAATATTTATTATTAGAAAATATCGTTTTATTAGCATTCGAAATTCTTGGATGCGGTTTGACAGATGTTGCAACTTTAACAGCTCGATGAACTTGAAACTTAGTATCAGACACTGGATTCGTCGAAGTAGAATTACCCAACAAAGTTTTACAGTAGTCTCCCTAAAATATTGTACAGAAAAGTCACGATGACTCTTGAGAGTTAAATTAAAAGATTATACATAATTTTACTTATTGGTTGGTACCTTCAAAAAGAATGATACATATGCTTCACTGACTGTGGGGTTCAACAGTGGGTCATTTTAATAATCTCTCATAGTAACAAAGAAACCATTCAATGCCAAACTATAAATACCTCAAATAAAAGCAAATAGGAATGCCTTAGGAATAATTAACTAGAAAATTAGTGCAATTCATAGAAAAACTGAAACAGTGATGTAAACTTTCAAATTCGACTATCTGCAAGAACTGATTACATTACTTAATGGTCGTGTATCAACTAGAGACTAACTTGAGAGGTAATTTCCTGGAGACAGTGTGGCTAATTAAGTTCAACCACCTCCAATGTAAAACATTTACCCGCCAATGACATTGGAAGACGGTCCTGCTAGTCAAATAAAGTAAGGCAGGTAAACCATTGCACCTAAACGGTATATGCTCACTGAGAAACCTTAACAATCTGTATTACATACCCGATAGAGCGGAGGATATGAACTGCTGAACAGCCCCGTACTAGGATGAATAAGTTATCCAATGCTTTCTGGTGGACTAGCTCAGGTAATTTAGTGATTTGGACTACAAAAGCCAACAATCACGAATACTTTGTTAAAAGTAGTGCATGTTACATCATCACAAAACTATCATAATGTTAAAAAAATATCTTTTACTTTGAAAATAGGCTTTCGTTAGTCACTCCTACACCACAAAACATAGCTCGTTGCGGCAGTCGGTGATTGGGCATACGCAGCACATGTCCCAACCACCTCAACTGATGAAGTTTCACCACTTCATTTATTGATCAGCCATCCTTACCTAGTACTCGATTCCTAACGATAGCATTGCTTACTCGGTCGTCCCAGGATAGAGAAATGCTTCGGATACACCGATGATAGAAAACTAGTAACCTACCAATGTCCTCTACTCTTAACGGCCATGTTTCGCATCCGCACAGTAGGAAGGAGCGAACTGCTGCGCAGTACACTCGTCCTTTGGTTAACAAGCGGTTATCTCGCCTGCGCCATAGGTGACGCAAGTTGGCAAAAGCCAATCGAGCCTTCTCTATCCGTGCTGAGATTCCGTCAGTCAACAGGCGATCAGCACTGATGAGACTCCCAGATAAGTAAAGCGGTCTACACGCTCAGCTAATTCACTCCCAATGACTAGTTCAGGTGCCGATGCAACCCAATCTTGAAGCAACATTTTGCATTACGGCGGGGCAGAATCGCATACCGAACATGCTTGCATTGTTGCTTAGGGTAGTAGTCAGAAGGCTCTGCATTTTGTCAGCGTCATCACCAAGTAGGACTACGTCATCGGCATATTCTAAGTCAGCAAGCGATTTTCCTGGTAGAAGGTCTACTGATGGAAATTCAGACGAAGATAATGTTATATCTAGTAGCATGTCTATGAACAAATTGAACAAGTATGAAGAAAGTGGACATCTCTGACAGACATCACTTGATGTAGAGAATTCCGATGAAAGTTCACCATAAGCTCTCACTCGACCAGTGGTGTTCGAGTACAGAGCTTGCATAAAGTTAATGTACTTATTTGGTACACCTATCAATGACAGACACTGACACAGAACGTCACGATCCACAGAGTCAAATGCCGCCTTAAGCTGCAGGAAGACAACTATTGTAGGACGCCTATATGCGTGTGTCCTAGGACCTGTCGTAGTGTGAAGATGTGGTCTCTACAGCCACGTCCAGGTCTGAAACTTGCCTTGTTTTCTTTAGTCTCCTCTTCAGCAGCACTAGTAAGGCGTCTAAGTATAATGGAGGCTAATAATTTAATAACTATATTAGTTAGACTGCTTCATCTATGATTGTCACAAGAAGACGTTTGTCCTTTCTTATAAATTGGGACAATCGAGGATTGGGACCAGTCAGGTGGGATTACGTCCAGTTCCCAGATCTCGGTCAATCTAGCTGCTAAAACTGGACCACCATCCTTAAATATCTCAGTCGTCAGTCTATCAGGACCTGCAGCTCGTCCGCGCTTCAGATTACCTATAGCTTTCTCAACTTCATAAAGATTAGGGGGACTTACATTGATTTACCATTCAGGATGACTGGAGATCGTGGGTAACCGGAGAGTGGCTCGAGACCAGTTGAACTGATCCCTAAAGTGTTCTGCCCATCGATCCAGTCTCCTGGATTGAGAATAAATAATAGTCCCATCCTTTTCCGAGACAGTCTCACTTACACCAGGATTCCTAATACCAGTTTCCTTGATAATTCGGAAAAGTTGTCTTATGGTTAACCTTACTAGCAGATCACTGCTGCTTCCACAGCCTTTTGGATATCATTCCAAGTTGCCTCCGGATGGGAATCACTTACATGGTTGCCTAACTCTCTTTCTAGTTGCTCATGAAATATATTCTTAGCCTCATTATCATTAAGTAAAACACTGAGAGGTTTCCTTGCAGTGTCTTTCATACGTCCAGTAAGCCTCAAACAAATACGCGATCGCACTAGAGCATGATCTGAATCTAAACATGTGCCCCAGAACGAGCGACAGTCCTCTATCGAACCCCTCCGTCGGTGGATGACAGCAATGTGATCTAGTTGGGTCCAACGTTGAGACGACTTTGGGAGTCGCCAGGTCAAAAGATGTTTTTCCTTATGCCTAAAGTTAGTGTTTTTTACTAGAAATAGGAGGTTATCTGAGCACAACTAGAAAAGACGGTCGTCATTGTCTGTTTTCTGAGCCACGACACAATAACATCCACCCAACTGTCTTTCCTGCTCACCTAGTCTACCTACTTGAGTATTAAAGTCACCAGGCATTATTACTACATCGGAGCGCCTAGCTTTTTGGAGGAGGTCCGAAAGCTTTCTGTAAAACTCATCTCTCAGCTCGTCTGAACTGCAGTCAGTGGGGTCATAGGCAGATACGACGAACAGGCAACGACGGGTGTCCCTATCTTTCCGGGTCCTTACTGTCCTGTTCAGTCGGACAGCGCATAAGCGACTATCTCCTGGGATTCAGTCTAGGAGAGATAGTTCTGCCTTCGACTCAATGCTATACCTACGCTAGCCAGACCCTGGGAAGCAGCATCAGGGCTACCGGATACACGAAGAGTAAATCGAGCTGCTTCTTTATTTTGACATGGAGAAATCAAATCAATGCCCTTACTAGGATCCTGCATGCGCGTTTCTGAGACGCAGCACACATCGATGGCGCGAGATTCTAAAGTCCTAGCTAATGAAGTCTGTCGCCCTATTTAACATAATGTCCGTGCATTAAATGCTCCAACATGTAGTTTAGAACGGGGTTTAAGGAAACCAGGAATAACTTTTCGTGAATTCGCATCGTTTGCATTAACGGTGCAGTGAGATAAAGGAATGTGAGTAGGGTTAGTCGTGGAGATAAGGGAGATATTAGGGGATGTAGGAAGGATTTGATTCTGACCGATTCGGTCTCGTGTGCTGTTACGGGCATGAGGGCGGTTGTCACTTCCCGGCTGCCACACCGTGGAAGGGTGTTTCTTGAGTAACCTGAAAAGGAAGATAGATTAGTGTTGGTCTTAGAGACCTGGATGCGTGACCGCAGAGCCCAAGGGACAACTAGTTGAGGCCGGTCATGCACGGCCTTTTTATGAAATGTTTTTTGAGTATTGACTGCAGTCTTTTTAAAGCCCTTAGTGGGCACCCTTACCTCCGCAGACGGAAATCCGTGAGGTAGAGTGAGGTGTGACATTTTTAGGGTCGACCTTTCCCAATCCTTCCTTCTTTGTGAGGAGGCATCATCGCTGTGGATGCTGGTAGTCCGAGGAAAACACCTTACTGCCGTCACATCCCTTTGCAGTCAGCAGTACGACTTCGCCCTCAGACCTTGAGTAGCTGCTTTTAGTCTCGTCGTACTCCAATCGACTTGCTTGGCATGGTAGAACCTTCAGGTCGCGGCCTCTGTCGGGCTGCGCACATCGTAGAAGGGTCCTGGTTGTCAGAGTGATCAGTAATAAATAAATAAACATGATTTTTAGTTCTTAATATATAGATATTAAGATATGGGTGTGTAAAAAGTCATTTAGTTTAAAACAAAAACTTACTCTTTTGAATGCTTTTTCGACTCCACGATGGGTAATGTCAGTTGTACCGGAATTAGAATAGCACATACTGAAGCCATCATTTGACCGAAGATTCATACATGAACAACCTTTTGGGAAAAATTTTGGTACATTATTCGTGGTCGGTATTTCTGGTTGATGAGCAGGATTTTTACTATCATTTTGATTGGAATATGAACTTGTTTGTAAATATTCGCGACAATGGTTAGCCAATGTTCGGAGCTTTTGCATTGGATTATGCAAATGGAAGTAGAAAGCAGCATCAATCTGTTCCGGTGGAATGGATATCTGTTCCACGGATTGTTACATAACTAATTAGATTTGTGCTAAAAAAATTATCTGATGACTGATTGAAGTAAATAAACTCATTGATAACATATCATCTTTGATAGCTAGTGACTGTCGTCTTCTACGACCTAGCATTCTTGAACACTAATCCAACGCTACCGGCCTCAAATCAAAACACGATCGGGAGAGAAACATACGCTTCAAAGCAAGCAGCAAGTTAATCATAACAAATTTATGTTGTATGTATAATCGCATAAGTGCTTTAGTCACCTCCGCTCATTAGTTGAAAACGAACTAATTAAGAAGCTTCACCATGATGTATGAAACGTGCTTGATTAAGTTTCCATATTGATAACACAAGTAACACACTTTGAAAAAGTGAAGATACGAAACTCAGGTAGTGGTATGGTGTTTTACGAGCCTGATGGTTTAATAGAAAATCCTTAATTGTAGCTCTGGACAACATCAACGCTTATTTGTGCAAAAGTGATCAGTTTGTTCTGAAGCCTTTGTAATTGATCGCCTTCATAAGTCCTATTGTTTCCGTTTGTATTTGTTTTCATGTTAACTGTTTTATTCTTTCGATATTAAACTGTATGATCAATTAATCTATTCTGTGTGGGATGATAGATCAGAACAATGTCAATGTGATTATTTACTACTAATAATTCTGAAAACTAAGCTTCTAGAAATTCGCTAGCAGTCTTAGAGTTCCCCCGATCCCCAATTAAGATGTCTCCAATCGAATCCGTGTCCATGGTTGTCAACGTGAATATGAACCATCAATGACATGTTATATCACCTTTTTACTAATCTGTTGTAACAGTAACATTATGCAAAAGGAGGTATGTCCAGATATTATTCAAAAGAGCCTAAAGCTGAAGAAACATTTTCTCCATGGCTTTCGTAAGAATAAGTGCCCAACAACTTCAATAAAAGGTATCTAACTTATCAAAGTCACCAAAAGATCAACCTCGGAAACTGAAGAACAGATTGTATTACCAGGCGAAAAGTATCTCAGGATTGATCATAAGGATTTCGAAACCCTTTGAAGTGAATGTCACTTACAAACCAATGCAATCACTTCATATCATTTTACGAGAACCAAAAGACACAAGAAAACGTAAACAAATCCAATACCATCTACAAAGAAAATTGGTTCGACTGCAAGGAATGTTCTATTGGAAAAAATGATGCTCTCTCCTTGTTGACTTAGTATTTATCAATCCGACCTCAGTTGAATTGTTACATATGTGCCTACACTCTAAAATATTTTGTTTTCTGTTTCTAAAAATACATTATAACACTAGAATTTGAATGATTCTTCCTTAAAAGTAGTCATCATTCAACCTAGTGTCATGTGTAACCTACACAACGTTAATAACGTTTCCGGTGTTGTACGGCTCTGTAACGTCGAATTCTTTGATAGGTTGATAAAATTAGGATTACGCAATCATTGCTTAGAATTGTTGGGAGAATTACTGCATCTGATAAACTTTGAATGGATTCCCCCTGAAAGACTACCTAATTTGCAGAAAACCTACATTGTAAGAAAAAGATACAGAAATTATTTTTATTCAGTGACACAGCATACTACTACCACGTTACATACTCCGTAGTACCAGTCCATGAAGTCATTAAAAATTGAACTGAGACATGACAAGAAATGTAGACTAACTGGTTGAAGTCCGTGCGATATCTGTAACCTGTGCTTAGAGACTTTGAATGACATGGCTCGATCGTTGGTGCATCCATTCTTTTCTTTCCCCTAAATCTTAAGTTTCTGAAATTATCATAATTTACTTTTTCTCTCACTGATATAGATTTTCTTGATTTTTATCCTCAACCCTTGATCTTTTCCATCACTACTGATACTCTTACTACCTGCACTACTCCAGGATTCAGCTGGACAATTTTATCTCTTTATGCTAACAGGGTATGGTAAATTGAACTGATGTACGTAGGTACCAAGTCTTACGTCTCACCAGACTGACTGATATTACATATTCGGGTTTTTTATTGTTCTGGTAATCAATATATTCAATATGTAGCGACAAGCAAATGATAAGAACAGAATTAAGTGTATATGACCTCCACATTTTTTATAATTAAAGTATTATCTGACTGATATCATATACATTTCAGAGATGCTGATTATCAATCACTTACTGCCTAATATTCACAGTTGACTATCCACCCCCCCCCCAATATCTGAGAAAGTGCATGACGATTCTGTTTTTCAGTTTTCATATATATGTATATATAAACGATGTGGAAAAAAAATGAAAGCTAATATGTTTTTATTAGTGTTTAGTTTATTTCAAAAATCGAGAATATATGAGTCCCAGTATAAAGTTAAAAGTATGGAAAGCGATTGCTAATCCTGGAGTTATTATAAATTAGACTGATTATTTAGTGTAGCATAAAATTTAGTAGGAGAGGTAAAAAGTAACTGGATAAAGACCATAGAAACACAATAAACTAAACTACGTGTAATGATAATTCAGCCAAATAAGAAGATAAATACTTAATATGCAAAGTTATTTTAGTAAACTTGTTTAAAGATTAGTAAAGAATCTTCTGGAATGTGTTAGTGAAACGTTAACATCCCATTAAGGATAATAATGTCCACAAATCGACCGAATTATTGTCTTACTTATCTAAAGCCATAGAATTCACAATCATAACAACAATAAAATCACTGCGATTACTTAAGAATTCTAATCTCACTAAGAAAACAAAACGATAGTGGTAAACTGACCTTCCGTTGAAAATCACTTTTTTCAATGTTTCAAAAAGATTACTTACATTTTTGTTGTTAATTTTAACTGATGCAAATGAGTTTTGCCTCCGCTTATTCTCAGTAAATGAGGGGTCGATTCCATTCACTGGATATTTTTCACCTAAGAAAAATCGAAATAATCTACGATGTATCGGTCGATATTTTTTGTTTCACAATGAAAAGGGTAATGTACATACAAAGAGACGACTGGTCCACTGATAGATTAAAATAATAACATATCAATTTAATAATAATGTTGTACACTAATTATTAAATATAACTACGAGTAATAAAAACTGTACTTCGAAAAATGATTCCAAAAGTCCAGACATTTCTAACACAAGTTCGGTAAAATTATGATCTAACCATTTAGAGATATTTTTATAAATAGAGTTATTCTAGATAATCCAAACACTCAAATAAAATATGTATTCAAAAAATGTTGCTTCAAGACTATCTCGCATCAGCACCTGAAGTAGTAATAGGGATAGAAACAGTTGAGCGTTTTGAGCCCTTCATATATCTTGAGAGTCTCATCAGTGCTGATGAAATGATGTGTGATCAAGTCTCAGCACGGATAGAGAAGGCTCGATTGGCTTTTGCCAACTTGCGTCACTTATGACGTAAGCAAGATATCCGTCTACTAAACAAAGGACGAGTCTACTGCGCAGCATTTCTCTCCGTCCTATTTTATGACTGTAAAACATGGACACTAAGAGGAGTAGAAGATATTCATAGGTTACTAATATTCGATCATCAGTGTCTTCGAAGCAGTGTTCATATATCCTGGGACAATCGAGTAAAGCAATGCAGTTGTTAAGAAACGGGTACTAAGTAGGGATGGCAGATCAATATATGAGGCAGTGAAACTTCATTAGTTGAGGTGGTTGGGACTTGTGTTTCGTATGCCTAAGCACCGACTGCCTGGACGAGCGATGTTTTGTGGTGAAGGGGTAGCCTGGAAGAAAGCTAGGGGCGGCCAGACCAAAACATGGCAGAAACCTATGCAGTCACTGACAAGTGGATTGTGCCATGTTGGTAGATGTAGACTACCAGGTTCGGGTCGGTGAGACGATAGTTACAGATTTTGAATGACATGGCTCAAAATCGTTTGCAATGGCACAGGTGCATCCACTCTTTGTGTTCTCCCAATATCTAATCCTAATTCCTCATGACCTTCATCTTCCTGTTCTCAAAATTTTCCATTGGATGATGATCCTTGAACAATATATTGAAACCCTAATATTTCCGATTACTGTTCATACTTCTCATCATCATCAACAACAGTAACGTAGAACTTTGCATGTAAGTACATCAGTTCAAGTTGCCATACCACATTAGCACAGAGATATAATTGTAAATTCAAATCCCATAGTAGTAGAAGGTACTAGCAGTAGTATGAGAGGTTGGGATTAGATGTTATTCAAGAACTATAATTCAGTGAGGTTAATTTAGAAAGAAAACGGTAGAGGTGATGACAAACTCAGAAGTTTACAATCTCATAGAACACAAGAAATAAATATACTTGCGCCACTGCAAACGGTTTTGAGCCATGTCACTCAGGGTCTCTAACCATCGATTATTATCATCTCGCAGACCCCAACCTGATAGTCGACAATTACCGACATGGCTCAGTCCACTAGTCAATGACTTCATGCATTTCTGACATGTTTTGGTCTGGCCGCTCCTAACTTTCTTGCAACCCACTCCTACACCACAAGACGTAGCTCTTCGCGGCAGTCAGTGATTGGGCATACGCAGCACATGTCCCAACCACCTCAACTGATGAAGTTTCACCACTTCATTTATTGATCAGCCATCCTTACCTAGTACTCGATTCCTAACGATAGCATTGCTTACTCGGTCGTCCCAGGATAGAGAAATGCTTCGGATACACCGATGATAGAAAACTAGTAACCTACCAATGTCCTCTACTCTTAACGGCCATGTTTCGCATCCGCACAGTAGGAAGGAGCGAACTGCTGCGCAGTACACTCGTCCTTTGGTTAACAAGCGGTTATCTCGCCTGCGCCATAGGTGACGCAAGTTGGCAAAAGCCAATCGAGCCTTCTCTATCCGTGCTGAGATTCCGTCAGTCAACAGGCGATCAGCACTGATGAGACTCCCAGATAAGTAAAGCGGTCTACACGCTCAGCTAATTCACTCCCAATGACTAGTTCAGGTGCCGATGCAACCCAATCTTGAAGCAACATTTTGCATTACGGCGGGGCAGAATCGCATACCGAACATGCTTGCATTGTTGCTTAGGGTAGTAGTCAGAAGGCTCTGCATTTTGTCAGCGTCATCACCAAGTAGGACTACGTCATCGGCATATTCTAAGTCAGCAAGCGATTTTCCTGGTAGAAGGTCTACTGATGGAAATTCAGACGAAGATAATGTTATATCTAGTAGCATGTCTATGAACAAATTGAACAAGTATGAAGAAAGTGGACATCTCTGACAGACATCACTTGATGTAGAGAATTCCGATGAAAGTTCACCATAAGCTCTCACTCGACCAGTGGTGTTCGAGTACAGAGCTTGCATAAAGTTAATGTACTTATTTGGTACACCTTCCAATGACAGAAATTGCCACAGAACGTCACGATCCACAGAGTCAAATGCCGCCTTAAGTTGCAGGAAGACAACTATTGTAGGACGCCTATTTGCGTGTGTCCTAGGACCTGTCGTAGTGTGAAGATGTGGTCTATACAGCCACGTCCAGGGCTGAAACCAGGCAGGTTTTCTCTAGTCTGCTCTTCACGAGCTATAGTTGAACGTCTAACGACTATCGACGCTAACAATTTAGAAACTAAATTAGTTAGACTTATTCCCCTGTGATTGTCACAAGAAGACTTTCGTCCTTTCTTATAGATTGGGACAATCAGTGATTGAGATCACTCGGATGGGATTATGTCCAGTTCCCAGATCCTACCCAAGATCTCAGTCAATCTAGCTGCTAAAACTGGACCAGTATCCTTGGAAATCTCAGTCGTCAGTCTATCAGGACCTGCAGCTCGCCCTCGCTTCAGATTTACTATCGCTTTCTCAACTACATAAAGAGTAGGAGGACTGATATCGATTTACCCTTCAGGTTGACTGGAGATCGTGGGTAACCGAAGTGTGGCTGAAGGCCAGTTGGACTGATCCCTAAGGTGTTCTGCCCATCGGTCCAGTCTCCTGGATTGATAATAAGTAATAGTCCGATCCTTTTTCGAAATAGTCTCAATCATGTAGAACCTTAGGGGCTACTGCCGGTCCCAAGCCCGGATAAAGGAGGAGGGTTGGACATGGGTTTGGCGACCCCATTCCGTCGAAATCTAACTTGCCAAAAAAATGCTAACTAGATAAAATAATCGAAACCATTTTAACTCTCCCCTGAGAGTTGGAAGAAGAATTATGACGTCGCGTGATGAAAGCCGAGTTCCCTCGGAAGTCACGGGGCCGATGCCTCTTCTGACAACCAGAGCAACCATTTTTTAAGTACATGGAACGTTTGTATATTGTGGGATATTGGAAGACAATTTCAAGTTGAGGCATAAATGAAAAGATACAACCTCGAGGTGCTCGGCATCAGTGAAACGCATTGGACACAGGTAGGACAACTGAGACTAGCTTCAGGGGAACTGCTGTTATACTCTGGTCATGAAGAGGGAAATGCTTCACATACACAAGGAGTTGCACTGATGCTGTCCAAACATGAAAAAAAGGCACTGATTGGATAGGAATCTCATGGACCCAGGATCAATAAACCATCCTTCAAAACAAAGAAACAGGACATTACAATGAACGTCATCCAATGTTATGCACCTACCAATGACTACAATGACGAAGTTAAAGATCAATTCTACAAAAGGCTGCAATCAATCATCGAGAAATGTTCACCAAAGGATTTGACGATTCTTATGGGAGACCTGAATGCTAAGGTTGGAATGGACAACACTGGATATGAAGACATCATGGGACGACATGGACTGGGAAAAAGAACGAAAACGGTGAGAGATTTTCAAACCTATGTGCCTTCAACAAACTGGTCATCGGTGGCACAATATTCCTGCACAAACGCATTCACAAAGCCACATGGATTTCATCGAACCACACTACTCAGAACCAAATCAACCATAACTGTATCAACAAAAAGTTCAGAAGGACCATGGAGGATGTGAGAACCAAGAGAGGAGCTGATATAGCCTCAGATCACCACTTGCTGGTCACTAAAATAAAACTGAAACTCAAGAAGCACTGGACAACGGGGCAGACAACATCACAGAAGTTCAATACAGCCTTTCTTCGGGATACCATAAAACTCAACGAATTCAAGATATCCCTAACCAACAGGTTCCAGGCCTAGCACGATATACTCAATGGAGACGAAGCAACATTGGAAAGGGATAAAGGAGGCAATCACTTGAACATGTCACGAAGTTCTGGGTAACAAGAAGTATCATCACAAGGAATGGATCTCTGTTGATACTCTTGCAAAAATTGAAGAAAGGAGGAACACGAATGAAGTAATAAATGTCAGCCGAACAAGAGCAGAGAGAGTTAAGGCACAAGCTGCATAAACAGAATCAAACAGGGAAGTGAAGAGCATCAGAGCTGACAAACGAAAATATGTGGAAGATCTAGCAATGACGGCGGAAAAGGCTGCAAGAGAAGGAAAATTGAGAAAATCGTAGGAAACAACAAAGAAGCTGGCCGGGAACTATCGTAAACCAGAACGACCAGTGAAAAGCAAGAAAGGCAAAGTATCAGCAACACTGAAGAACAGCGAAATAGGTGGGTAGAGCTTTTTCAGGAACTCCTGAATCTACCAGCTCCACTGAACCCACCAAACATCGAAGCAGCATCCACGGACCTCCCAATGAATATTGGCGCACCTGCGATTGAGGAGATCAGTATGGCCATCAGACAAATCAGGAGCGGCAAACCAGCAGGACCAGACAACATTCCAGCAGAGGCAATGAAAGCAGATGTAGAGGCAACTGCGAAAATATTTCACGTCCTCTTCAAGAAGATTTGGGATGAGGAACAAGTACCATCAGATTGGAAAGAAGGATACCTGATCAAAATACCAAAGAAAGGCGATCTCAGCAAGTGTGAGAACTACAGAGGCATCACTCTTCTTTCAATACCAGGCAAAGTCTTCGACAGGGTATTGTTAAACAGAATGAAGGACTTCGTAGACGCCCAACTTCGAGATCAACAGGCCGGATTTCGTAAGGATCGATCGTGTACTGACCAAATCGCTACATTACGGATCATTGTGGAACAATCAATTGAATGGAACTCACCACTCTACATCAACTTCATCGACTACGAGAAAGCATTCGATAGCGTGGACAGAACAACACTATGGAGGCTTCTTTGACACTACGACGTGCCTGAGAAAATAGTTAACATCATACGGAATTCTTATGATGGATTCAACTGCAAAATCGTACACGAAGGACAGCTAACAGACTCTTTCGAGGTGAAGACCGGTGTGAGGCAAGGTTGCTTACTCTCACCCTTTCTCTTTCTCCTGGTGATCGACTGGATTATGAAGACGTCGACATCTGGAGTGAAGCACGGTATCAACTGGACAGTTAGGACGCAGCTGGACGATCTGGACTTCGCAGATGACCTGGCTCTTCTATCGCACACGCAACAAGAGAGACGACCAGTGTAGCAACAGCAGCCTCTGCAGCACCAAGTCTCAACATACATAAAGGAAAAAGCGAAATTCTCCGATGCAACACAACAGGCACCAACCAAATCACGCTTGATGGAGATGCTTTCGAGGACGTTAACACCTTCACATATCTTGGCAGCATCATCGACGAGAAAGGTGGATCCGATGCAGATGTGAGGGCGCGGATTGGCAAAGCAAGGGCTGCATTTCTACAGTTGAAAAATGTCTGGAACTCCAAACAACTTTCAAACAAAACCAAAATCAAGATTTTCAATTCAAATGTGAAGACAGTTCTACTGTATGGAGCGGAAACTTGGAGAACTACGAAAGGCATCATCCAGAAGATACAAGTGTTTATTAACAGCTGTCTTCGCGAAATACTTCGGATTCGTTGGCCAGACACCAGCAACAACGTACTGTGGGAGAGAACTGTTGGGATAGCCATTCGAGAAGAAAGCCACGCACATTGTGGATTGATGAACTATATGAATAATGTTCTTGATGAAGTATTTGATTAATGTTCATGATAAACTATTCGATTAATGCTGAACTATATGATTAGTGTTCATGATGAACTATTTGGTTCATGTTCAAAATATTTAACGACATTTATATAATTGTATAAATACGCATGTTTGATTGTACATTTTTGATTCTGATAATAAGCGTTCTCCAACGTCTTCCGTCTTTTAATTTTTGGACGGAGGGGTCTAACGTTCGGTGTGTCATTAGTACAGTGGTTTGGCGTTACATCAAGTACAAAACATAAAAGTGGCGACGGGAAAAAAAAACCCATATCCACAAAACATAAAAAGAACAAACCAGATTCCAGTGGAGGAGGAAATCAGGAAGAAGCGGTGGAAGTGGATAGGACACACACTACGAAAAGCACCTAACTGCGTCACGAGACAAGCCCTCACACGAAACCCTCAAGGCGGAAGGAAAAGAGGAAGGCCACCGAACAAATTGCGCCGAGAAATAGAGAAAGATATGAGAGGAATGAACAAACATTGGACAGAACTGGAGAAGGAAGCCGAGGACAGAGTTGGTTGGAGAAAACTGGTGGGCGGCCTATGCTCCATCGGGGGTAACAGGCATAAGTAAGTGAGTAAGCTTAATCACGTTCGGATTCCTAATACCGGTTTTTCAGATAAGTCTGAATAGTTGCCTACGGTTGCCCATCGGCGTCGCCTTTTCCATCTACCTTGCTTTCGCTACCCACCACTGTTCTCGACCATTGCGAAGTCTTTTTATCAACCTGCGCCTGAGCTGACTCCGCTCTTCATCGTACTCAGAGCCAGGAGGGATGAGCTTTCGGGCATCCATCAGTTCGTTAGCTGCAGAAATCCACGGCTTCATTCTAACCTTATGGTTTACCTTACTAATAGATATTACTGCTTTTTCCGCAGCATTTTTGATATCATTCCAACCTGCTTCCGGTTGAGAATCGCTTACATGTTTGCCTAACTGTTTTTCTAGTTGTTCCTGAAATATATTCTTAGCTTTATTATCGTTAAGTAGAGCCCTAGGAGGTTCCCTTGCGTCCAGTTAGGCGCAAACAAATACGCGCTCGTACTAGAGCGTGGTCTGAATCTAAACAGGTGGGCCAGAATGAGTGGCAGTCGTCAACAGGGCCTCTCCACCGATGCCTTATAGAAATGTGATCTAGTAGGGTCCATCGTTGGGTTGGCTTTGGAGGTCGCCAGGTCAACAAATGTTTTACCTTATGTTTAAAGTTAGTGTTTGTTAGGAATAGGCGGTTATTTAAGCATAGCTGCAGCCGATGGTCGCCATTATCTGTTCGATGAGCCGCGACACTATAAGATCCATCTAGGTGTCTTCCCACTGAGTCTGCCTACTTGGGTGTTAAAGTCACTAGTCACCATTCCTATATCAGAGCGCTTAACATGTTGGAGAAGTTTAGAGAGGTTTCTATAAAACTTATGTTTTATGTCGTCTGAACGAAGAGGCAACGGCGAGTGTCCCTATCCTTCCGAGTCCGTCCCGTTTATTGGGATCCATTCTAAGTGAGCTAGTTCTGCCCTAGGACTTAACGCTATACCTACGCCGGCGAGGCCACGAGAGGCGGCATCAAGCCTGCCAGAAGCACGAAGCGTAAACCTTGTTGTGTCTCTATCTGTACTAGGTGAAATCAAATTGATGATTTTACTCTGATCTTGTATGCGCGTTTCGGAGACACAACACACATCGATCGCCCGGGATTCCAGAATTCTAGTTAATGAAGCCTGTCGCCCTATTTGGCATAGGGTCCGAACATTAAAAGCTCCAATATGTAATTTAGTACGGGGTTTAAGGAGACCAGGAATAATGTTTCGTGAGCTCATACAGTTTGCTTCAGTCGCGTGAAGTGACAAACGATCGAAAGAAGAGTTGATCAAGTAGAGGTGTATTATGGATTTATTTGTGACTAATTTGGTCTCGTGTGCTTTTACGGGTATGAGGACGGATGTTACTTCCCGGCTGCCCACACCGTGTAAGGGTGTTTCTTAAGGAACCTGAAAAAGAAGGGAGATTAGTGTTAGTCTTAACGACCTGGAAGCGTGACAGCAGAGCCCAAGGAGAAAAATTCTTGAGGCTTGAGGTTTTTTGAGTATTAGCTCCGCCCTTGAAAGCCCTTAGTGGGCTGCCCTTACCGACGGAGACAGAAATCTGTGAGTTAGGGTGAGGTGCGACATTTAAGGGTCGACCTTTCCTAACCCCTTCTTTCGTTGTGAGAAGGCAGCATCGCTGCAGATGCTGGTTGTCCGAGGGAAACATCTTACTGCCGTCACACCCCTCTGCAGTCAGCAGTATGACTTCGCCCTCAGACCTTCCGTAGCTGCTTTTAGTCTCGTCGTTCTCCAATCGACCTGCTTGGCATGGTAGAACCTACAGGAACATGAGTTCCAGCCAATATAGCTCGGTTGGGTCATCACGATAGGCAAACTTGACTACCACGTCAAGGTAACAGCCACGGTTGGGGTTCATACTTCTACTACCTGTACGACTATGGGATTAGAACTGACAATTGCATCTCTATGCGAATACAAGTTTATAGGTTTCTGTAGGTCACCTGGATTAACTTAAAGTGTTTTGCTCAATTCAATGTTTAAAATGTTAGACAATGAATGAAAAGTTATTGATATTTGTATAATCTACTCAATATAACACTTATTCAGAAATACCACTGATTAAAATATCAAGGATGATTGTGTATTGCTTCGAGTTTAATTAAAATATAGTTAGTCATAAAAACAAAGTAATGTTTTAGGTATAAATGATAAAAATGAAATCAAGAAATAAATTGATAATTATATACTCCTGTTAAGTTCTGTGCATTATACTTTCAACATCCCTAACGGCTGGAAGACTAATGGAAGTAAAAGTAATAACATCGTAAATATTATGATATAATGAGAGTTGTTAAATTGACTAAGCAACTGATCGAAATCACCACAGATAATAAACCTAACACTGATACGAAATACTATTCTAAACAATGATTGTTTTCCATAACATATATTTCCATCTAAAATAGTTAGAATAAACCATAAAATTACTCACTGTCAGTAATAAGTTCCTCATGAGTCTGTAAGTGCGCTATGATTCTCAAAATTGACTTTCTTTCCTTTTCAGCAGCCTTTATTCGCTTCTGTAACGTTAAAAAGTAAATAAATGTTATTTAATACAGAGAAATACCCCTGTAACAGATTGATATCCAACTAAATAAATGAAGTAATTAATATAAGAGGTGAAGTTCACCACCCCGTTACCCGTGGTCGATTTGGTTCTGTGTGGTGTGATCCGGCGAAATCCATAGGTATGCGTTTACGTGGGAATATTGTATTGCGTATGACCAGTTTGTTGAAGGCACAAAGGTTTGTAAATCTTTCACCATTTTCGTTCCCATCTCACAAAACATAACGTCCCGTAATTTCTTCATATCCGATGATGTCCATAGCAAACTGGGAATTTACGTCTCCCACCAAAAGTCAAATCCTTTTATAAGGTCATAAAATTCTTTGGTATTCCTCTCAATGACAGACACTGCCACGGAACCTCACGACCAACAGAGTCTAACGCCACGTTGAGGTCCGGGAAGACAACTATTGTTGGATACCTAAATATTTGTTTGTGTTCTAGGACCTGTCGAAGTGTGAATATGTGGTGTATTCATCTACGTCCAAGTCTGAAACCAACTTGTTTGTAATTTTCTACCTCTTCCCGTTCATATTCTTCACTATCTAATTGTGTACACATTTCTTATTACTTAATGGTTTTAATATTTTGTAATGATTATTCTAAGTCTATTTATCCACGTTCGGCCTACTATTTCCAATGTTTATCTGTTGATAAAAACTTTTTTATCGCATTTTATTTTTCTTACTACTACTAATACACCTGTCTTCCTACTATCAAATTCTACTTTTACCTATTATGTGTAATGACGTAATCTATTTCCATGTGATTATTGACTCAAAGTGCCTTGATTGGTTTAACATTTTCATATAAATATTCACGTATATTAAAGTAAAGCCTGATGACGATCTAATCGAAAAAATTATTGTTCACTTATATGTGGAATAATTGAAAATCTCGACCATACGCACAAAAAGCGAATGGACTAAGATCTTTTGGCATCATTTTGATTAATCATGTGGACATTAGTGAATCCGCTCATGAGCATCGACAGAATATCTGGTTTTAAAATTGTCAACAGATAGAATTAAAATCGTTACCGTTTAAACCCACACAAAAGTTCATAGACTTAGGTTACCTAAGTTGCAACAGCGTATCAAAGAAAGTATAAACAAACTATAGCTAAAGATCGCCAAATAAATAAAAACGATTGTTAAACATTGCAATATTGTGTAGTCATAACTTACTAACCTTGACTTTGAAAACAGTAAAATATGGGAACATTTTACATTCTAGTACCCAATTACCATTTGCTATTCATACCGTTATAAAATATGCCCACTTATTGCCAAACAAGGATCGAAGTTCCACATAAATTAAAAGTTTATACAATAATAAATCTGATCATTAAATTCAAGCAGAAAGGGTGATTACCAACATACATCCAAATTTCGAACTAACTGGATTATTCTGTTCTCTTGGTTTAAAACCTGCTGTTGACTGGGACTTGATTGCATTGTATTATAAGCTACAGAATGATTTTGATTTGGAAACGGTTTCATCAAAAACCAACAATCTAAGTTCACGTTGAACAACAGGAACTTATTCCACTTGGTGAATCTTTATCCTGTCTAGCATCCTCCGTATTCACTTGATGTTTTAGCAGACTTCAGCAATGAGGTTTCCAATAAATTTTGTAATTTAATTTGTTATTCAAAATAAAATACAAAACAGAAAAATGTGACTTAAGTGTAGACGAAAAAAATACGACAATGAAGTTAAACATAAAACTAGTAATCGGTTTGCGAACGTAGAACTTCGTTCGCACGAACGTACAGCAGTTCACGTTGACACACCACATTAGACCAGAGAAGCAATTGTCAATTCTAATACCATTATCGTACAAGTAGTAGAAGTATGAACAGTAATCGGAAATATTAGGGTTTCAATATATTGTTCAAGGATCATCATCCAATGGAAAATTTTGAGAACAGGAAGATGAAGGTCATGAGGAATTAGGATTAGATATTGGGAGAACACAAAGAGTGGATGCACCTGTGCCATTGCAAACGATTTTGAGCCATGTCATTCAAAATCTGTAACTATCGTCTCGCCGACCCGAACCTGGTAGTCTACATCTACCAACATGGCACAATCCACTTGTCAGTGACTGCATAGGTTTCTGCCATGTTTTGGTCTGGCCGCCCCTAGCTTTCTTCCAGGCTACCCCTTCACCACAAAACATCGCTCGTCCAGGCAGTCGGTGCTTAGGCATACGAAACACAAGTCCCAACCACCTCAACTAATGAAGTTTCACTGCCTCATATATTGATCTGCCATCCCTACTTAGTACCCGTTTCTTAACAACTGCATTGCTTTACTCGATTGTCCCAGGATATATGAACACTGCTTCGAAGACACTGATGATCGAATATTAGTAACCTATGAATATCTTCTACTCCTCTTAGTGTCCATGTTTTACAGTCATAAAATAGGACGGAGAGAAATGCTGCGCAGTAGACTCGTCCTTTGTTTAGTAGACGGATATCTTGCTTACGTCATAAGTGACGCAAGTTGGCAAAAGCCAATCGAGCCTTCTCTATCCGTGCTGAGACTTGATCACACATCATTTCATCAGCACTGATGAGACTCTCAAGATATATGAAGGGCTCAAAACGCTCAACTGTTTCTATCCCTATTACTACTTCAGGTGCTGATGCAAGATAGTCTTGAAGCAACATTTTACATTTCGAAGGGGGAGAACCGCATCCTGAACCTGCTAGCATTATTGCAAAAGAAGGTCAGAAAACTCTGCATTTTGTAAACGTCTCCAGCAAGTAAATCTACGTCAGACGAGTAAAGTAGCATCTATATAAGCCTATCTATGACAAAGTTGAATAACATTGACCAGTAGTTTTTGAGTAGAGAGGTCGTATAAGATTAATGTACTTCTCTGATACTCCTTTCAATGGCAGACACTGCCATGGAACCTCACGATCAACAGAGTCTAACGTCACGTTGAGGTCCGGGAAGACAACTATTGTTGGATACCTAAATATTTGTCTGTGTTCTAGGACCTGTCGAAGTGCGAATATGTGGTGTATGCATCTACGTCCAGGTCTGAAATCAACTTAGTTTTCTCGAGTCTGCTTTTCACAACCTCTAGTCAGGCGCTGGAGTGTTGAGGCCAATATTTCAGATACTATTAGTTGGGTGGGTATGACTTACGAAGATGCCTGTTTTTCTAGTTGTTCCTGAAATATGTTTTTGGGTTTGCTATTATTGAGTAGAAACCTAAGGGGTTTTCCTGCGGAGTCTTCCCTACGTCCAGTAAGCGTCCGACAAATACGCACTCGCACTAGAGCATGATCTGAATCAAACCATGTGCTTCGGAACGAGCGATAGTCTTTTTTCGAGCCTCTCTATCAATGGCTGAGAGAGATGTGATCTAGTTGGGTCCAGCGTTGGTACGACTTCGGTGGTCGCCATGTCAAATTATATTTTTCTTGGTGCTTAAGGTTAGTATTTGTTAGAAACAGATGCTTATCCGATCATAGCTGCAGCAAACGGTCGCCATTATCAGTTATTTGGGCCACGAAACCATAAGATCCACCCAGGTGTCTTTCAGTATTGTTTAGTCTACTTACTTGAGCATTGAAGTCATCGGTCTATATTACTATATCAGGGCGCCTAACTATTTCAAGGCTATAAAGCTTTCTGTAAAAATAATCTTTTACCTCATCTACGATGCAGTCAGTGGGAGAGTAGGCAGATACAACTAAGAAGCAACGGCGAGTTTCCCTATCTTTTTGAGTCCTTACTGTCCCGTTTAATCGGACGACGCATAAGCTACTATTTACTGGAATCCAGTCTGAGAGCTACCTTTGCTTTAGATCTAATGCTATACCTACACCAGCAAGTCCAGTAACAAGGGTCTTGGATACACGAAGCGTGAATCGAGATGGTTCTTTATCTTATATTCGGACCCCATATACGCGTTTCTGAGACGCAACGTGCATCGAAGGCGTAAGGTTTTAGGTTATTTAGCTTGTTGTCTTATTTGGCACAGGGTTCGAACATCAAAAGCTCCAACATGTAGTTTGGAGTGGGGTTTCAGAGGACCAAGAATGACGTTTGCATCAGCGTCGCGAGGTAACAAAGGAATGAAAGAGGGGTTGCTCGTGGAGATAAGAAGGTTATTAAGAAGTGTAAGAAGGTTTCCATTATGACCAAGTTGATCTCGTGTGCTGTTACGGGTATGGGGGCGGATGCCACTTCCCAGATGCTCACAACATGGAAGAGTATTTCCAGAGGAACCTGAAAAAGAAATCGGATTATCGTTGATCTGAACTACCTGGGAGCATGACCAAAGAGCCCAAGGGACAAGTACTTCTCACCGGTCATTCACGACATTTTATGAAATGTTTTACAATTGCTAGCTTTGTTCTTCAAATAGCTTTATCGCCGGAAACGTAAGTCCGTGAAGTGTCACACTTTTATTAGTATAATGCATTTATCGTTGTAGATTATGTAAACATTTCAAAAAGCATAAAAATGTACCGGATTTCTGTCAACAATATTTGTACAAACTTTAAGTTATACCAATCAATAAATACTAGATATTTGTTTTTTAATTGGCATACGGTCGAGTAAATAACTCAGTCCATATATACAGTGGAAATCAGTAAACTTCCTCAATCGAACAATTTACAAATTCACGTCACTGTTCACAAACACAATTATGCGTTATTTTATGAACTCATGAATATTCTGAAGTACAATTCCTGTCCTTTTTCAATAGTCAACTCCGCCTAGGAGCCCCACTGGGGCTCGTGCCGGTCTCAAGTCCGAATAAAAGAGGGTTGTAGTGGGGTTAACGACGCCATTCCGTAGAAAACTAACTCGCTAGAACACGCTAACCAGAAAAAATAACTCAAACCATTTTAACTCTGCCCTGGGAGTAAGAACTTCTTCATTCAAAAGAGTTATGACGTCTCATGATGAAAGCCGAGTTCCTTCGGAAGTCACGGGACCGATGCCCCTTCTGACAATCAGAGCAATCATTAATTTAGGTACATGGAATGTTCATACAATGTGGGAGACCGGGAGAGCCATCCAAAATGCCAAACAAATTAAAAGATACAAACTGGAGGTGCTTGGAATCAGTGAAACGTATTGGATGCAGGTTGAACAACTAGGACCAGCTTCAGCAGTGCTGCTGTTATACTCAGATCATGAAGAGGGAAATGCTTCACATACACAAGGATTTGCACTGATGCTGTCCAAACAAGTACAAAAAGCAATGATAGGATGAGAATCTCATGGACCCAGGATCATCAAAGCATCCTTCAAAACAGAGAGGGCATTACAATGAACGTCATCCAATGCTATACACCCGAAATCGACAGCAAGGACTATGATAAAGAGGCTGTGTCAATCGTCGAGAAATGTCCAACTTAGGACTTGACCGTTCTTTTGGGAGACCTAAATGCCAAGGTTGGCATGGACAATACCGGATATGAAGAAATCATGGGACATGTGCTGGGAGATAGGAACAAAAATAGTGAAGGATTCACAAACGTATGCGCCTTAAACAAACTGGTCACTGGCGATATAATATAATATAATATATATAACGCAGACACATGGATTTCATCGGATCACATCACACAGAAACAAATCGACCACATCCGCAACATTGAACACTTCAGAAGGACCATGGAGGATGCGAAAACCAAGAGAGGAGATGATACAGCCTCAGATCACTACTTGCTGGTCGCCAAGATGAAACTGAAACTAAAGCAGCACTGGGCAACTGGGCGGGCAGCATTACAGAATGTTAATAAGGCTTTTCTTTGGGATACTGACAAACAGTCGTCTACGCAAAATACTTCGAATTCGTTGGCCAGATACCATCAGCCACAACCTACTGTGGGAGAGAACAAACAAGATTCCAGCGGAGGAAGAATCGCTGGAAGTCGATAGGACACACATTGAGGAAAGCACCCAACTGCGTCACAAGACAAGCTCTCACATGGAAGCTTTAAGGACAAAGAACACATTAAGCTGAGTAATAGAGACAGAAATCAGAAAAATGAATAAAAATTGGACAGAACTGGAAAGGGTGGCCCACGACAAAGTAGGTTGGAGAATACTGTTGGGTGGCCTATGCTCGATTGGGGGTAACAGGCGTAACTAATTAGGTAGTTTTAATAAGAGTGTAAATGCAAGGCATAATACAATACATTAGCAAGTGAAAGCATTTTTTGTGTGTGAATCACGGTCCTTATGTTCATCAAGCAACGAGTAAATACGTAATGGTTATGCCTCTGAAAGATCTTCTTAGAGCTGCTCGCTAAAGTAGCTTTAGTCACACCAATTTGGAGGAATTTCTGAATACAGCTGACCGATAACACAAAATTAGTCTGATCCTACGCAATCACCCAACTTTGGAGAAATTTCGAGGAAAAGCCTCAAAACCATTGTACCGGTTATACGAAGAGGAATTTCTTATATTAGAAATTGTTTAAACCTTTGAAGGCAATAAGTAATGTACACAAAGTTTTTTCTTTGTATGATATTGCAATTATTCATGTTTTCCATTAGCAAAAATTTAGCTGCTTTAGTACACCACATAGGCAGAAGACAAAGCTTTCATTCCAAACGACATTTACAAAAACCTTACACCATGCAGGTGAGTCTCTGTTTCTAGCACAATTCCCGATTATTATTGCCTATAGTTAGCTGTTCTTTTTCGTCTAACAATGAGAAACGTAATAAAGGATATGCTAGACGGGTTTTAACCAATAAATGCCAAGCCCCATGAGCTATCAACGATCAACACTATGCAGACATTTTAAGAGGTTACGACATAAATTTGAGCAAAATCATGGCTCAGACGCTGCCGAAACGCGGAACCGAAATATCTAGGCACGTGGCTTTTTGCCATGTTGGACTGAAACCTAATCTCCTGAGTATTTTCGAAGTGTGGTAGCAGAAGAAAAACTCTAGTGAACTGAAACAGCAACTGAATTATGGTGTCTTGTCAGTGTCTAAAGGTTATAGCCGACAGTCATGGCATATCTTAGGTCGTCTTGAAGTCAAGTATTCATGATAATATCACCTTTCTATATCAATACCATCACAATTCTATCAAGTTTTCTTTCATTAAAAGTTGTTTTGACGGCAACATCACTATACTCATAGTTTTTAAATTTAGAGAAAGCAAAATACAGGACTATTTCAGTTGTTGTTGCAGTTACACTATGACTGGCTACACGAGGTAATCACAGACTCTGACTTTGTAGCCCCATCATCAGAGAATCCTTGATAGTAAGCACAGAAACATGAATAAATTCGAACAATGTGATAGCCGAAAACAAAGTTCAATCACATCAACCTCCAAATATATTGAACAGACACGGGCGCTCGAAAGCGCATGAAACTCATTAAATTGCGCCAACTAGACATTCAGACAAAGACCTCAAACGTTCACATTGAAGTGGACGGAATAAAAAAGCTTCTATTCGCTAGGTTTCAGGACTGATTTGAAGTACGTCACCTATTGCTCCAGGCGAGAACCCAGGAAGATATCCAATATCCATTTCAGGTGCTAGTAAAAGTCAATTGACCTCTTTGCACTCGACTCTTGTTCTTTCGCTATGGTTCCACGTGTTTTGCAGCGTCCAGTGAATGAGTGTCTAGCCACTCGATTATCTAATTCTATTCATTTAGCAGTGGTTTTCGAGTTTGTATGTCCCATGATTTATTTCAGAGCAACAGGGTTTCTGAATACCAGCAACTATCACATTACCAGACTGGAGATTCGGAGAATGTGGAGAATAATAAGAATAGTATTCCGATGCTATTAAGAATAAAATTGCAGGACTAAGTAAATAATGTATAATCTAGTTTATTAATTGGTAGTGAAGATTGCGCATGAGGACCGAAGTGTAAGCAAGGGTGAGGAAACAGAGACACTAAGAGCGATAGATTAAGCTAGTGATCTGAGGAGAAGGCAATAATAATGACTACCAAGTTTCAAGGCGTGCGTCAAGTACAGTTTGTCCACGAGTGAGATGAAAATCCGTATGTGAGTACGTATCTCTCAAGTCTCTTCTTAAAGCTGTCCACTGACGGGGCTGTGTTCAACGACTCCTAATAAGAAAAAGGGTGCAGGAACCTGATGCGCAGTTTTTTCGAGGATTGACTCGAAGGGAGTGGTCGTGGTGCATCTGTAAGATGCTAACATTGAGATGGTTTGGCGTGCTTAATGTGTTGTTCTCCACAATCAGATCACCTTCGATTCTCCTGTAACTCAAGGGGAATAATCCCAAATTCTGGAGTCTATCTTCGTAAGGTTTATTCTTCTACCCTATCACCCACTTCGTTACTCGTCTCTGCGTTCGATCCAAGAGGTTTATGTCTTTTTTAAGGAGATTGGGGGCGACGACATTGTAAACCTGAAGGTGTTGGCGTGTATATATCTTAAACAACGATAAGAATACTTCAGGGGTCACAGCACCACGTTCTTTGCATTAGGTGAAGAGTGGTATTAGAATTGGTTGCGACCCTACATAGTTGGAGCTGGTGTGGAGGCTTTCAGTGGTGAATAAACCGAGATTGAGTTCAGAGGGGAAATCAGGGAGCACAGCGGCTTGTTTCCATTCAGAGGGGAGTTGGCGTGGTTGGGTTTGATTAGAACTCTGGACATGTAGAGGCCTGGTCTAACTGTACGTTGAGGTTTGTATTGAAGATCTCAGCCATCTCTAGGTTGGTGAGGTCTTCCCCACTCGCACCTTTGAGAGAACACAAACCTTGGTTCGTAGGTTTTCTTTGTCATGAACCTAAATTGGTGCTTAGGGTTTGCCCGTATTTTGACAGCTAGCTTCACCTGAAAGCGTCTCCTATCGCCTCAAACTTTGGAATTGCATCTGGTTCTCAATGCCAATTAAGAAATACGGTCGGAATCATTCAGAGAGACCTTCCACTTGTCCCAGGCTCTCCTCTGCGCCTGTAGCAAATGACCATTGCTGCGTCTAACCCACGTTCTTCTGTTTCCGGGTGTGTGTATTGTCTGTGACATATAGAAGGTTCTCCCTCAAAAGCACGTAATTCGCTCCAGTTTAGCAAAGATAGGGCTCGTTTTCCTCCTGCCTCAGTGTTTCGTTTATGACCACGTTAAACATGACTGTGCTATGGTCACCACTTCCTACTGGCGTATGGACGTGGAAATCCTCGAAAAGGGGCTGGTCAATTGTTGACAAATAATCTAAGTTGGAGGATTTTTCGTCCTTTATCCATCTAGTGGACCTGCATACATACTCAATCAGCCGAAAACTTCTAATGCCTACGGTAAGTCATCTTTGGAACCAACCAGTGGGAGTTGTACCCTGTTTGCTGAGATTTAAAGATAGGGTGTTCAAATCACCAGCTAACAGTATTTGATCAAAACCCAAAGAGTGTCAGTTGCAGTATTGCCTCAGTCAGTTTATCATTCTGAACCTTAGTACCTGAGGTGGCCGGTAAATCCCTCCAATCAAGTATTTTGTGACATTTGGGTAGAAACAACATCAACATGATTTGGTCACCTCATTTAGTTGGGTGTCGTGTAGCCGCTCGGCTTTCGAGTGGCTTTTCATATACGCAGCCACTCCGCCCCCTGTTTGGTGTACCTCAAACTTTGGAATTGCATCTGGTTCTCATTGCCAATTAAGAAATACGGTCGGAATCCTTCAGAGAGACCTTCCACTTGTCCCAGGCTCTCCTCTTCATTTATACAGCCACTCCGCCCCCTGTTTGGTGTACCCTATGGCTTCGGAAGAGTGTCACGCCTTGCATGTTCACTATGTCGTCTGCAATGTCAGGAGATAACCATGTTTCAGTTAGGATTATGATCTTGAGATCCATCTGAGAGCACATATTCATGATTTCTAACAGCTTACCACTTAGTCCTGTGACAGTCCTACAGAGTCACTTGGTGGTCTGTCTCATCACCTGGTTCACCAGTTTTTATGTACGAAACGATGAAATAACGCAAAGGCAATCGGTAAATGTGAATTCTTCGCAATTTCATGTGGTTATGAATATTAGATTTTCAGATTTCACCTTGTGACCGTTGACTTTCTTACAGAAGTTAAGGGCTTCATTAGCATAGGACCAGCGAAATGATATTGAGCTCTTGTAAAACTATCAGTCAAAATGAATCATTTCTGAATTGGACTGCAGATTACCGTACGTTGGACAATCTATCTATCATCGTCGAGGTCAAGGATGGCTAACACATGGATTTCACCGGATCACACCACACAGAGACAAATCGACCATATGTGTATCAATTATCATATCAGAGATTCATTTTTGACGTATGAACAACGAGGAAAGCTGAGAAAGCCTTTAATCAGAAGTCGTATGATTGATTGGACCTCCTATTCGTGCCTGGAGGACGAGACGCGTTCCAGGTGAAGACCGTTGTCATGCAAGGTTGCTTACTCTTAACCTTTCTCATTCTCCTAGTGATCGACTGGATTATGAAGACGTCAACGTTCGGAGCCCTGGACGGGCTCCTAGGCAGAGTTCTTGATTTCCAAATAACAACTATGAATATATATATATATATATATATATATATATATATAATATCATAAAATAACGCATAATTGTGTTTGTGAATAATGACACGAATTTGTAAATTGTTCGATTTAGGAAGTCTATTGATTTCCACTGTATATATGGACTGAGTTATTCACTCGATCGTATGCCAATTAAAAAACAAATACCTAGTATTTATTGATTAGTATAACTTAAAGTTTGTACAAATTTTTTTGACAGAAATCCAGCTCACATTTTGCCACGTAAAATTTTTACATAATCAATAACTGCATTATTCCTTCCTGAGTTAATATTAGTATTTAAGCTCATCAACAAATAAGGTAAATAATTTTACAGGCTATTATTTTAATGTCATTATTAAGATTTAATTTGCATATCTGACAAATGAAGTTATTAAACTGAATATCTTTTATTATCACATTACAAATGCACATTACATTTGTCAATCAGTTAACGCTGCTAGTTTTTAAATTTTCTTTATGATTCTCAACTTTTTTGTTAACTATTCGACCGGGTTTTTTGCTTTAAATTGGAAAACCAAACATCTGCAGAAAAATCTTTGGAACTTCCTATAAAATCGAAACAAGTTTAAAAGGAAACCCACTATAAACATGAGCAACGTAATCATTTAACGTGAAATTTTTAACTTTAACTGATGATAGACATACAAGTTTAGATATAAAAAGGGAGTGTATTTATACTAATTTACAACCGTTTTTAATATTCATTTTACATCAATAAAAATGCTAGCACACTACAACAAAGAAAGTTGTAAATCATTTAACGATTATATTATTATATTATTCCAATAAACGAATGACAAAATAGTAATTTGTTGCACTTTAAGATTAGTAGAGAAAATTATCACCAGTGAGAAAAGTAAATTCGTTAATTTATTCAATAAGTAAGTAAGTTCCACATGAGAAATAACTTTCTGGTTATAATTTTTATTACTGACCAAACTTAAGTAGACTTTAGAACCTAAGTTGGCTCCTATATAAAAGGTTCCGTCTCGTAAACATAGAAATCATTAATTTGTAACACATGAGAGAGTATCTACATATCTTTAATTCGGAAAAATTCGTGTATAACTGTTTGTAAACGGTACATAAAATCTACTTTTAAAACTACAGTATCGAGGATTCAAACATATTGTGTTATGATGTTGGTGTCCTGGATATGATCGCGATACTTGTCCACCCCGCGAGAATTCAAGAGGAAAATGGAAAGTCTATTCGGTTGCTGAATAATATGTACAAATATCCGTTTATCTGTGTTTAAACATATTCTACCACAGAAAAAGAAGCTATTTCATGGCAGGAGATATGTATTCTTGATTTCAGACGATTTCTGATTATCATCAAATGGCCTTCTCATTAGGCAACTTGTGACTATCTTTCCAGATCATGCTAAACATCTTTATCAGGGAATAATCATGCTCATTCATGGGTAATTTTAAGTTTAATTATTCACTAATTAAAAAACAGAACACTAGAATAAACATTATATATTGGTCTAATTTCGAAAATTCTATAGACATTTAAAAACAACATGATCACTAATGTTCCTTAACTCTCTTCATCGTCTGAACCGATTTAGCCTTTGATGAGTCAAGGAAGTTATTTTTCATGTTTACTTACAACCCGTTTTATAGGAGTGTTACGCCACGTTGAAAGGTCAATGCGAAAATTCAAAGTTCAATGTAACGAATGTAAAAGAAAAGATAGTTTTTGATAATCTTTTGCATTGTAATTTTTTTAAAACAACCTTTTTATCATCTGATAGCTGGTATTTAATCTCTATGTTAGTTTATAACTTACAAAATACATTTCCTTGTGAAATGAAAACGGCTTTCTGAATATATGGACAGTTGCTGAATGCTATTTTGTTCAACTTCAGTGAAAATAAAGTACTGTCAAGTCTGCTATACCCAGAATATATAAACTCATTACTTATATCATTTTAGTCTTGTCCTTTTTTTATTTTAATTTCTTTGTCTAGCTGATATTCCATGTTCACCCTTGAACTTCATTTTAAACTATATAGTTAGCTCAATTTTCACTTGTGCCAACTGACACTGTCTACTGAACTCATGATTCTTGAAGTCTGCTTACTGATGATATGTAGGTTACATTGAAATAATATTGATAGCTTAAACGGACCTAGTCTAACATAAATTGAAATTCAGGAATCGTCGGATACCTGTTTCATTCCTAGTGAGGGACTATCCACTAATGAATATTAAAGACCACTGAGAGATATCTAATCCAAGAATTTCAGACCTTCACAAAACAAGAAATGAATCCAATAGGAAATTGTTCATGTCTACGCCTAGACCTAAACATGAAGAGGTAATAGGAGCTTTTATAATAATGTAGTTGATTTAACCGAGAAAAAGGACCGTACCATTAATAAAAAGGAATAATTAATCCGAAACTGATTAATTTCCAGCTTTATTTACATACTGGATGTCAAAATAAAGTGTGATTTAATAGGCAGATATCACAAGTTAGAGTAACTGTAGTGGATTATAATGATAATAATACTAGCAGTACGCTTTTTTACTCAAAAGATACTATAAGGCATATTTATTATGCACACTTCACAACGAACAGCACAATGCATTAAACATATTCACAAACCCGGGTCACAATATGCACCAACACAAGGAACGGATCTTTGTTGTTACCCTTGAAAAAATTCACGAAAGGAGGTACAAGAAGGCAGCAATAAATGTCAGCCGAGCAAGAGCAGAGAAAGTTAAGGCACAAGCTGAATGCACAGATGCGAACAGGATAGTGGAGAGGAGCATCAGAGCTGACAAACGAAAATATGTGGAGGATCTAGCAATGACAGCGGCAAAAGGCTAAAAGAGAAGGAAACATGAGACAAACTATCGTAAACGAGGAAAACCCGTGAAAATCAAGGGAGGCGAAGTAATCAGCAACACTGAAGAACAGCGAAATAAGTGGGTAGAGCACTTTCAAGAACTCTTGAATCAACCAGCTCCACTGAACCCACCAAACATCGAAGCAGCATCCACGGACCTCCCAATGAATATTGGCGCACCTGCGATTGAGGAGATCAGTATGGCCATCAGACAAATCAGGAGCGGCAAACCAGCAGGACCAGACAACATTCCAGCAGAGGCAATGAAAGCAGATGTAGAGGCAACTGCGAAAATATTTCACGTCCTCTTCAAGAAGATTTGGGATGAGGAACAAGTACCATCGGATTGGAAAGAAGGATACCTGATCAAAATACCAAAGAAAGGCGATCTCAGCAAGTGTGAGAACTACAGAGGCATCACTCTTCTTTCAATACCAGGCAAAGTCTTCAACAGGGTATTGCTGAACACATTGAAGGTCTTTGTAGACGCCCAACTTCGAGATCAACGGGCTGGATGTCGTAAGGATCGATCGTGTCCCGACCAAATTGCAACAATAATTTAGAATGGTTTTTCCGACTATAAAGAGGGACGAGTAGCCGAAGCATTTCATATGATGCTAAATCCCTTAACCCTCAGTAGGAAAGAAGACCTGGACTGTTCACCTAAACAACCATATTGGACCCAATTAATTATCGATACAATCCTATGCGTACACACAAAATGTTTTAATATTTTTCAGCTGCACTCCTTCGTGTCATAAATTACATATTCTTTCTTACTTTCCTTCATAAACACAAATAACACATTATAACTCATCCAGAATCATTTTGACTGATAAATTATATGATATTGACATGTGGGGAATATTATGATTTTAAACGTTGAAATCATGAGTTAATCATTGTTAGATCCTCATAAAAAACTGGAAGCACAAGACGGCGGTTTTGCGTTCGTATGGGACTCATCAGAAGTGCGCGTCCATGACTCCCGCACCTCGCAGGATTCGAACCCAGGAAGTCGGCCTTGTGCAAAAAAGCCTAACCTCTGATTTTGACTGAACTAAAAACACTGCTTCGTTTTCTTCCCTGATAGATAATCTTATTTATTTATTTTTTGTTCATTACAGAGTTATGGAGATTGTTGTTTTGTTTGAGATGTCAGATCACCAGAACTCGCTTGATAAATGTCTTTATTTCGAATTGTATTCATGGGCTGACCATTTGACCCTGAGATCACATTTCCTTCCAGGAAAAGCCTTGGCTGTGATTAGTTACTGTGTTGTTTCAGTGTGCTATTTTGTGACTCTCCTAAGGACGTTTCCATGATGTATAAATAAACAAGAGTTGTGTGCTTGGATTCATCGTTTGCTGATTGAGTGTTTGTTGAATACACTTTCTACGCTATGTCAAGACTTCTCGTCAGTACCTTTGGGTCAACGGGTCAGAGTAGCTTACCTGGACGCAGGTTCATTGTCTCGTTCTCGCTTTATCGACTAAGGTGAACCCGTAATATTTTTAAGCACACCTAGTGACGAGTGTAACATGTTTATTATTGAAATCATGAATGACTGCTGTTGTGTGAAACCTTAGATTGATCAAAGTTATACAATAATACAATTAGATGCCGGCTCAGCGGTCTAGGGGTTGGGGTTCAAATCCCGCGAGTAGCAGTAGTCGTGGATACGCACTGTTGATGAGTCTCTTACCCTAACGAAATGGCTGTCCAATGATCCAGGTTTTTATTGGTGGTCTAGCAATGATATATTCATGACTGCAATATTTTATCATTACCGTCAATCACGGTTTAATTTAGTCGAAGAAAACAGTGTGAGTTTTAAGGTCTAAGTAATGAATCCATAATTTTGAACTTATGACTACGTAATTCTAATATAAATATGCTTTGAACCATCTTAATTTGAAAGATTAATTACCGACATTTCTTACATCAGTCATTAGAAAAGCTTCTTTTAATTGCCGAATGGATAAATAGTTTTCAGGCATTTTCTGGACTCTCACAGACTTTGGTGAGGGACAGTTTGGGCCTCTCCAACAACTTTTGGAATAGTGAATTAGATAACAAAGTGATCTCATGGAGATCGATTTAATTTGTATCACTTGTCACAGACTGAACTGTAACGTCAAAGTCCAGTAGTCAATGGACAGGCATTTCAACCTGGCGTGCAACCCTCCAGCGATCATACCCTAGATATTTTAATGTCTTGGGTCGAGCGCTTAATAATGAGGTCACTGAGTTGATGTTCATTAGTACATATTTTCAAGTTTCACCAAATTATTGCTGATACAAGTACATGGAAATTTACTGATGCTCTGAAAAAAGAACAGAACCTAAATGAATTGAGAATTAAATAGCCTGTTCGGGTATCCAACAACAACACTTAAAAAGAAAGTATAGAAAGTTACACGCCAAAACTAATCATAAAAGATTAAGAAAACAGATCGATGCAAGACTGTCGACTTGGGATAGTACATAATTTGACTATGCCCATCTAAATAAGATAATTTTACGAAAATTTCATAATCTGTGTGATATTTACATCTATGTTATATATTAATGGGATTATTTTATTGTAATAACAAATCTCTCTCTTAGACTAAGTTATCGATGTGTTGCTTATTTGCAATGGAGCAAGTTCATCCATTCTTTGTGTTCCGTCAAATCCTTATCTTCTGATTTCCTCATCACATCTATCTTCCTCTTCCTAAATTTATTTCACTGAATTATACTTCTTGAATAATATCTCCGAACTCTAATCTCCACTGCCTCGAACGCTTTTTCTATCTCTACCACAATGGGATTTGAACTGAAAATCGCGTCTCTGTGCTAATGTAGTATGGCGATGTGAACTGATGTACGTGCGTAAGAAGTTCTATGTTGTACCTGACTGATTGGCTGACTACGCTTATTACCCCTTCTGATTTGTCAAAAATGATTTTAGCCGTGGCTCACAGCTTTAAGAAATAAGGTTACATAATGATCGAAAATTAGAAGAGAAACATAGTTCAACAAAATCCACGGTGTCAAAGATAATAATTATCCACTTAATGAGTAATGAGAAAGAGGAATAAATTGAAAGCATCAAGGCAATAATGACAAATGACTGAACATTCAAAGAAGCATTGAAATTAAATATCAATAACCGATCAATTGTGTTTGAAAAGTGACAATTTGACATGACAAATAACTCAGGCTTGAAAATGTAAACTGTTTACCACTTCTGTAGCGAACTCATCGGTAAGATAGTAATTGTAATGTAGCTGAATTTTTAAGTCAAGCTAACTTATATGAAAAAACTAAACATTTCTGCCTGTCAGATTGAATCTGGGTACGGTTATAACCAGAATAAACTGGATGATCTGACGTGCATTCATACATAATATTCTTATGTTAAATCAAAATAAATGCATGGGGTCCATTTAATAATTTCCATCCGTTCAACTAATTAGCACTAATCAATGCTCTTATTATCACAAAAGATAAAAACCGTCAGAATAAAGTTTATTAAGTTTTACTGGAGGGCAAACTAGACAATGTTTTCGGAATAAATTTGAGAAAGAATGCCGAGCATAACTTTGAAATTTCAAAAGTTAAGCATATTTTAGTAATTAAAACTTATTTAAAGTAGAATTTCCTCAATATTTATTTGTGTTCACACCCACTCATTAGTGAGAAACGTGTAAATTGATAATGTGATACGACTTTTTTATATTAGATTTTTAGATTTCAGGAGCAGAATAACTGTTAGATTCGTATATCTTTTACTAGTACTATCAACGGCGATTCTTAGTGAACCCTATTACATTTACAAAGATACCGAAAATTGATATGGTCTGTCCATCTTTTTTACAAACGCACCAGTCTCCTGAAGAGACGCTTGACTTTCTGAAGATTTTGTGATGACGCAGAAACCTGATTGTTCTGTTCTACTTTTTGAATCTTGAAAATTGAGTCACAATCGACGGATATCAATCCTATTTAGGTAAAATATTCTTCGTCTTGCCTCTTATTTTATATTCACTCAGGCTCAAATTGACTTAGTATTATTTATCAGACTTAGTATAGAAATTCTATATCCATATTTTCTTATACGAAAGGAATTGTTTCCTTTTTGTTGTTGAGACAAGTCTCATACTCAATAATCAGAAGTCTACTAAGCTATTTTTCTGTCGATTAATCTGTCTACAAGAAAGAAAGAAATCATTGTTACTACTCTTAAAATATTATATAAATTTACATTATTAGTGTTTTCATAAAAGAAGATAAAGCATTAATATATTTTCCGCCATAAAAAAGAAAACCGCTTACCTTTCCATTTCAGTTTTCTTCCTCGACAACCATCATTAAACCATGAATTAATATCAGTATACCAAGATGGTTTAAGACTAGGCAAAGCATTAGCCAATAAACAAAAATCGCATTCAGGTCGTTCAGGAAATAATACTACTTTCCATTCATTTTGCCATATGAAATATTCATTAAATGCTGTATGATTGCTATCTAAATAATGTAAATATTCAGCTAATTTTTTTGGACTAGAAAATTGATCCACATGTATAAAAGAATTTGGTGGTGATACTTTTTGATATTCTTCAATTGATGCACCCATTACAACTGGTATAACATCATTCCTTAAAAATTCAAAAAAATTATCTTATTGAATAAATGTAATGGTGTAAACAATATAAATACTTTCTGAGAACATTACTTCAAAGTTCCAATGAAATAGATTTCGCAAATTAGATAGTTTTTGGTATAAGATTGTGAGGATTGCTAAATTTTTTTAAGATTACAAAACTTTGTGAGTTTTATGTTTTGTACTTGATGTAACGCCAAACCACCGTACTAATGACACACCGAACGTTAGACCCCTCCGTTCAAAAATAAGAAGACGGAAGACGTTGGAGAACACTTATTATCAGAATCAAAAATATACAATCAAACATGCGTATTTATACAATTATATAAATGTCGTTAAATATTTTGAACATGAACCAAATAGTTCATCATGAACACTAATCATATAGTTCAGCATTAATCGAATAGTTTATCATGAACATTAATCAAATACTTCATCAAGAACATTATTCATATAGTTCATCAATCCACAATGTGCGTGGCTTTCTTCTCGATTGGCTATCCCAACAGTGAGTTAGACAGACTTTAATAGAAATAAGGCTTGTACAGCATTGGGTCCCTATTCGGTAGTCATTCGATCGTGAGACCGAAGATCCTAAGCCTTATTTTCGGTTATGGTGTCCTGGATGTACACAGATGAGAAGCTCCAGACGAGGAAGAAATGGTCTTTCAGTACTCTCAGATTTTTAATGCTTTTGTGCATTAAATCGACTCATTATCTCTAGAGGATAGTTTTTCGTTAATTGCAAATAAATTCTACAGATAAAATTTTTTTATGGCTGAGAGAATTATGTCTAGAGTAGATATAATCAGATAACTAAATATATTTCACAAATTTTGCTTAGCTTTTGTTACCCATAATACAGAATACGAAAAGAAATAGTGCATCTGTAAATAGTGTGTCTATAAATATAATAGTAAATGTCTTGCTATCAATACTTCGTTGAACATTTCTTGATTACAGTAATGTATGCCGAAATGAATATTAGCAATGAAAAATTCTGCAAAACAACCATTACCACGCATTGAGGAGTATTAAGATAAAAAAATACGGATCTACATAATTAATATGTATCAGTTTGTAAAGTTTTTGACTTCATATCGATTGACGTTTGGATCAACTTGAAATTGTGAGTTTAGTTTAATGTTCAGCTTTAATCAACTAACATGCTAATCATTGGACTATATTAGGTAAGAAAACTTTTCCTGTTTGATGAAGTTCATGTGGTGTCAGACACTCGTATTTGAAGATTGAATGGTATCACCGAAATTCAATTAAAATGAACTAAATGTATTCGTAGTTGTTACTTACCATTTTGAAATCTCTAAAGGATATGGATTTTCTTTTTCTATACTTTTGCAAAGTGTAATTATTAATACGAAATAAAATATATTTCACAGAATCTCATGTTATAACTTTCTATTATATGGCCTCGATAAAACAATGCTGCAAATTACTCTGAATTCCAATGGAATTGATCGGAAACATAGATTCAGAAAAAGTAATCCAGTTCACATCAGTACATTCAATAGTTTTATGTTTGACGGACTGAGAGATTCCCTTGTTGAAAAAACTCCGAGTGATACATAATGATTTACCTTTCATGTAGCACTTTGTGTAAGTTGTTGTGTTTTGCAGTTAACGTCATGATATGATCTTGATCAGACAACTATTGAAAACAAGAAATCACTTGAAAGCTATTTTGTGGTAAAATGGTTTGAATCATCAATACGCATCCACAACCTCATCAGAGATCAAACTCAAAACCATCAAGTTTTGCGATGAGAATTTTCTGTTCAAACTAGCAAGTTTACATCCAATGATTCATACTCTCAACTGTGATCAGTTCACGAGATATTACTCAACCATCTTCCAACTATGTGAGTCGGAAACAGTCTCAAATGAATCATGTCTGGATTACACTGATCTATTTAATCAGGTGATTTTAGTAACAATTCCACTTGTAGACAGTGAGTTGAACTGTTTAAAAGTAAGCAACAAACAACAAATGTTTACGCAGTGTTGTGAAAAACTTACATCAGAGAGTTTCGAAAAAATTTTTCTGTTATGTAATCTTGACAAAGGGAATTTTCAAAACTTAGATAGAATTTGTAGTGTTCTTTTAACATTTTATAACAATCTAAATCCTGGCATTTCCTTTGACTGCATCCACCATATACATCAACCTTTATGAATAAATTAGGATGTAATGAAATAATCAGGAAATATCGCCATGGAAAATAATGAAAACACAAAGCATACTAAGATATTTTAAAAAATACGCGAATTTGTTTGAATTTTATTATTGAAAAATAACTTCGTTTTATAAAATTATGAATAAACAGTGCAAAGGAGTAAAGTTATTGAAATTCAACAGGAGAATGAAATATTAGGACTGAGTTACGTTCTTTGAGCTGGATGTTTCGATTGTGGAGCTTTCGTTGCTCTTCCGAACAACATCATCAGCACAAACTTCAGGTAGAAGTGAGGTATTTCTCCACCTATGATTCGAAGCTTGTTCTGTTAACCTCGATCTTGATCGGTTGTTATTGTCCTTAAATCTGTCATTATCTGCCCGTTTATTTTGATTGTATCCCTTTTTGATATGTTTCTTGATCCTATGTCCGTCTATAATTTTTCTAATTGGTTGATTAATTGGGTCTTTATCAATGTGTTTGTTGATTGCTGATTGACTTAAGTGACAAGCTTCTAAAAATTCTGTAGTGTTCTTTGAAATGAAATAATATCTAACAGTTTTCAGTAATCTGTTAAACTAGATAAAAGAAATGACTTTCACTTCATCTTGTAAGGAAATTTAACCTTGTTAATTGTAATTCAGGTTTATAGCCCGTGTGATTAGTCTTTTTATGATTCACATATTACCCATATTCAACAATTATTACATTTGGGAATAATATCAAGGAATCCTTTAAAAATAGGATATTCTTCTACCGACATACTCTAGAAATGATGATATGACGAGAGAATATTTACGTCGTCAGGTACTGATCAGTGTTCCTGAGACGAATTAAAAGTGACTTATTTATTGATTATATATAGTCTGATATGAGTAATAAACTGTTTCAAGTTTTTCAGATAATTGTTTGTATCAAAAATATACCAATCTGATCTCACCGCTTAAACTAACTGCATAAATTATGAAGTTTGTAATACTATGAGACATAGTTGTTTACTTGAGTAGTTATTTTAAAAATAACACGTTGAAAAAAATAAAACAATAAAGTGGATCGTCATTTCCATCACTGAATATAGATTTTTTGGCTGTATGATTTTTACTAGGACTACTTCAACACTCAAAACTGAAAAAATTTTAGATTTGGTGGAGAATTTCTTCAATTATCATAACTTAGAATCATGATGGTTCCTTGTATTAAGCTACAATTACCTTTGAATAATACGAGTTAGATTAAAGGATATATCTTAATAAATTAAATAAAATGAGAAAAAGGTATAATCACTTAAATGAGACGGAACTTAAGTTTGGTTGAGATGAGTCAGTATGATATAGGTTGAGACATCCTGATTAGGTTGTACTGTTTTCAAGAATAAATGAAACTACTCCTGGAACCCTTCTGGGGTTACTGCCAGTACCTAGCCCAGATAAAGGAGAAGGGTTGGACAGGAGGTTAGCGACCCCATCTCATTGGAAACCAACTCTCTAAAAAATTGCCAACCAGAAAAAGCTGGTCAGTGGCCTATACTCTACGAACAGTAACAGGCTAAGTAAGTAAATACAACTAAATGTATTTCTTGTTTCCATAACTAATGTCGAAAATATTTAATCGACTCAGATTTGATAATTAATTCGTTACCATATTCCCAAGTAAAATAATTACTATGGTCACCATGATGATTCAATGAAGTAACATTTGAAGAAAAGTATAGCAGACTCCAATCATTTATCGTGGATAATCATAAATAATTTAATATCTTAAAAAAAAATAATAAAATACTTCTAGTTCAAATGGATTCCCTGTATAGTTTTATAGTTTGATTATCAAGAAAGTTATATTGTGCGTAGAACTAGACAAATGCATCATCATATTTGGGAACATCAAGCCTCATGGCTGACTAAAAGACAAAGAAAAGTAATATGGAGCTCTGTTTCGTTGCATCTAGTCGACACTGGTCACCACATAAATAAAACTTCAGTATTCAGAGTTATTTATAAAATCCTTCCAAATTTATCCTATGGTTCCAGAATCTGACATTTTCAGATAGCCGAAGCCATGGCAATACCCACAAGTAAACTGAATCTTGTATAAGGAAAATGTTTGTGCAACCTTAATCTACCCTGGAATTCTACATGTTCCAAAACCCTTCTTTCCATTCATTTAAACTTTGCTCGAATTCCATTTACTAACATTTTAATCTCCAATACTGATCTTAAGTAACCTGAATAGTAATCTGATCGTTTATATTTATATCATGGATAATAAAACACATATGTGCATTCAGTTTCAATTCTTATTCTTACTGTTATGTAACTATTTGTGATAATTAACTGATTATGTAAGTTCATCTTAGTCTTGATTTTAATATTATAAACGTTACGTAACTAGCTAAATTGTCTATCATCTAATTGGTGTTCACTTTCTACTCATTTGTAAAATATATATGAATCGAAAAGAAAGATTTCCTCGTTCATTCTGTCTTCTTAATGTCTCAATAGGATATTTGGTAGAGCATCAAAAAACTGTCAGCCCGGACTAAATTATCATTTCAGGAACTAAACAAATTTTCAAATCCATTAGTTTTGTTTAAATTCGTAATACTCACAGTGATATGTTTCGATAATTCATAGACGTATAAATTTCTTGGACTATTCGGCCGACAATTACTTACAATCCATGCTACAGTTTTAGTCTTCGCTGCAGATATATTTCGTGATTTACTCTTCATATATTTTACATTTTGATCAAATTTAAAAATTTCTATGATTTTACCATATGGTAAATGTATTGTTGAATCATGTCTATATGTAGCAGTGAAATTAATCTAGAGATAAAATAAAAATAATTAATATTTACTTATTTATTAATGATCAAGGAAATCAGAAGCGGAAAGAAACGAAAATATAATTTTGAATCGATTGGGCAACCATTGAAAACCGAGAAACATTTAACAGTTGTTTCATCAAACATAGTCCCACCAGATAAAAACAGTTTTCATTTACTCAAATCATAGTGGATTACTTATTTCACATAGTAAATTGAAAGAATTCCTGAATGACTGTAATAAAAATTATATCAAAAAGATCGGCGAACCCTTAAATATATAAATCTCACGTCAACTCGGAATCAAATGACATGTTTATGTAGACTTGGTTTAGTAAAGCTTGAAAATAAGGTCAGTCACTTAGATGAATCAAGATTAAACTAAAAAAAACAGCTGATCGAAATCAACATGAACGTGAAAACTTTCTATAGATATACTATTCAAAACAACTTGGCGAGAACAGATTGATTTATGTTCTCACTAGTGGCTAGCTTCATGAGGAAATTTTTCCAAGTTCTAGTGAGACGCCGTAAACGGTGGAGTTCAACCGCATCGGGTGTAGGCAGTTGCCTATCGAAGACAATAGATGAGGTTCCTCGATAGCTTATATTGATCAAAGTTAGACACTAACTCAGTTGGATGCCGGCTCAGCGATCTAGAGGTCAAGCGTTTGCAAGTGAGGCCGAGGTTCCTGGATTGGATTCCTGCGAGTGGGGATTATGGATGCGCACTACTGATGAGTTCTATACTAGAGCGAAACGGTCATCCTGTGTTCCCATATTTCTAGTGCTGGTCTAACATTGATCAACTCATCGTTTCAATGATCTATATCTGTAAAGTCATTTGCAAGTGCGATTATTATGTTGTTCATAAGGAATATGAGTGCTTCACAATTTAATTTATCCAGTTTATAAAAAATGTTACATTATCTAAATTAGTCAATCAACTGCATTTGCCTTCTTAACTAACACATTTTTAATGCATGAACAAAGTATTATTAATGATTATCATATTAAATATCACTATAGATCACTAGATATTTATTATTACTTTAAACCCACAGGTAATTTCTAACTAAAGAAATAAATCTAAGATAGATATGAGTCTATAAATTCTTAAGATTCTAATTTTAAAAATATGCAAGGTGTTATATTGATTAAAGTTCAGTGGTTATGTTGTTGTTGTTGTTGTTGATGATGATGATCATTTTTTTGTCTGACCGATCACTATGAGTAATCCTTAAAACTGTAAATAGGATTACCTTAATATTGCATGTATTAACATTAATAAAATTATTATAATCTATTGATTAAAACTGAAAATTTTCATCTAATAGATTTATCATATTATTAAAAAAATAAAAGTTTGAAAATTTATAGTGGACATTTCTTATTTATTGTACAGTGATACAAACTGCTTGAAAAATCCTACTAGCCTAGTAGGAAAAAACAATATTCGTAATTCAGTCGGGGAAAAGTCTCGAGAATAATTTTATTGCCAACAACTTTCCTCAAATGCAAAATTCTGTAAGGAATAAGAATCATTAAACAACGACTATATTCCCATATGATACTTCCGGGTAGTGACTACTTAAGGTTATTGAGGAACTTTAGTTCCTGTATCGAGCATACTACTTTTGAACTGTTTGGTTAAAATTCGACAGACTAAAAATTTCGAATTCTGCCAAACAGTTATGTAGCTAAACAATTAATTATACGGTTTTATTAATACGCAACTACCTCACACCGATTATTCATTCTTAGCGGTTTTGATGATTCTTCAGCTTCTGTAATGAATACTGTCTTGCAATTAATACTGTTGGGGGGTTTTGCACAAAACAAGTACATTAGTTCTATAGCCATTGAAAACTAGGAAGCACTGGACACTAGTTTCCTTCTACCATAGGAAAATTTCAAGAATATTCTGGAATTTCTAGATATACAGTATCCAGTCAACAGATATGTCGCCACTGATGTAATATATCAAGTTACATGAAAAAGGCCAGCCAACTACATTGTTAAAGGTCAACCTGTCAAGATAATTAACAGGAATATGAGGACATATTTAATGAGAAAGAAAAGCACCAACTCGACCAATCACGAAAAAGGAAATCAGAACGAATTCAACCAACGTTTGCTAAATATGTAAAATTTCAAATAAAACTTAAATACGACGAACATAAGTGCTTCCTCGAGCGACTAGCTACAAACTCTATGTTCTGACTTGAAGTATTGTGAAAATTGCAGTAACCGTGGAATGTTCGAGAGTAATGAATTTAGCATTCAGTTACATAGACGTGAATAAATAAGACGAATTTTAATGAATGTACAGTCACTAAAGCAAGGCTCCTCAATGAAGCAAGTGGCTGTAGAAATATGATTGAAGTTCAGTAGAAATCATTGTTAAAAAAAGTGCGAAAAAAGATTGCTGCTTACAAATGCGATAAATAAACATTTGTTGCGTATTGATAACATATGTTACTACCAACGAGTGCAAGCCGTTGACAGCGTTGGGGTAGTCGAAAACATGCTATTATCGGCGTGCAGGAGTTTCGCTCGCCTGCTTAGACTGATAGTTCGTGTGCACATGCGTGTCGCCATACCACCAATTTACTTAGCAGGTTGCAAGAAGTTCGAGGTAAGAGAAGCTAATCAGCACTTCGGAATTATCTGTCACACGACAATCATAGCGCTACTGCTGTGATGAGTGATTCATAGTATGTGATATGTAGTGGCTTCGTTACGTACAGCGGATACGAGATTGCGCTGTCTGCATTGTTCACCGAGTTGATATGTTGACTCATTCGTCTAATACATTGAGTTCGAGAGCTTCTCTGTCGCTGTAGCTCTTCACGTTGCGTTATGCTCGGCGTCGAGAACTTGGTAATAGTTGGGTATTCCCAGACGATCACTTCGAAAGATTGCAGGTCCGAACCATATTGGATTCACCATTTTAGCGGCTCACGACTTGACTCCAATGTGGAAGAGTGATCGAGTATGTGATTAAATAAATCTTCCTTTCCACTTCCGTATATTATACTTAGGCTAACTTTGTTCGTCCTACGGCGGTAGTAAGAAGCCAAATACTGTGTGTGACATACAATAATTAATGCTGTTATCGAATTATTGTAAGTACAAAAATATAGTCGATAGTATTATCGAATATTTTGAACGACTAATCATTGAAGTATCAAAAATAAATGGTGAGATGCTACGTCACTTCTACATGAATTAGGTGCTCATAATGTTAGAGATAAGGTTAGTTTCGTAAATATTAATTAATTAACTGTGAAAATTCAACAACAACAACAACAACAAGAACAATAACATCATCCATCTGAGGTGAGAAACATTTACTAATATTTCATGGTTAAGTATACTAACACAGCTACAGAATTAACACGATCATGTTAGTCATTATCAAAAGTTGGAAATTATGATATTTAGTCAGTGTTACCTTTCATTATAGGGTTTTGAAGTTTGTTGAGTTTGACCGAAATCATGAATCGATAATTGTTAGACCACCATCAGAAACCTGGAAGTATTTGACAGCCGTTTTGCCCTAGTATGGGACTCATCAGCAGTCCAAAAACACGATGCTTACTCGCAGTAATCCAACTTAGGACCTTCAGTCTGATTCCGTGACCAGGTTCCTCCAAGTTCAAATGGGAAGCCATGCACAGTAGTGTTCAACCCTGTTGAATAGGAAGCAGTGCCCACCGAAGACAATAGATGAAGTTGCGCATGACCTTGGATTGACCGACGTTGGGCAATAACACTGTTGGATGCCGACTCAGTGGTCTAGGGATTGGGCATTTGCGCACGAGAACCTAGGTCCTGAGCTTGATTTTTGCAAGCGCCGACACTGAATTCGCACTGTTGATGAGTCCCATACTAGGACGGAGCGGCCGTCCAGTGATTTCAGGTTTATTGGTAGTCTAACATTGATTGATTCATGAACTACGACTGTCTCTTAAACAATCAAAACTTTGTGAGTCTAATATTTCAAATTAAGATAAAGTATTTTACGAGTACTCTTTGAAAAAGTATGTGGTAGTCATTAGTTTGATTTGATCATAATAATTGTACATTCACTCGATACACAAGATACTCTCTCTCTCTCTCTCTCTCTCTCTCTCTCTATATATATATATATATATATATATATATATATATATATATATATATATAAACTTACTTTCTCACCTAATAGTTTATTTAAACGACTGTGTGGAGGTGCTTCATAGTGATATGCCAACCAGACTTGATTTTTACGATTTTGAACATTTGGAAAGTTACCATTTGTAATAATAACCATTTCAGCATAATACGAACGCCATTTTGTTGCATGAATGACACAGTTCGATACTAGACAACCTCGAAGTTGTGTATTGATCGGTACAGTGGTTTTCCCATAAATAACAATTTCTTTAATCTAAATTACATTTTCATTGAAATTAATGAAGATATTTGATAGAATAATTATACTGCTAACAGTTGTTAGGCATTTTCGCCAAATATATCTACCTGGTAGATTATAATTAAATATATATATATATATATATATATATATATATATATATATATATATCGACTACTGCTAATACCTCAGTTACCTCTACTACTAAGGGACAGTTACATCTCTGTTCTAATGTGGTATGGCAATATGAACTGATGTACATACGTACGAAGTTCTACGTTGCCTTTGATTTATATATATATATATATATATATATATATATATATATATGCCTAACTTCCAGATCAGAAGGATGGATTCTGTAAAGGTCAATCATTTACCGACCGAATCGCGTCAGTCGACTGGATTATGAAGACGTTTACGTCTGGGAGAAGACACGGGATACCGTGGACAGCCAGACAGAGAACAAACCAGATTCCAGAAGACGAAGAAATCAAGAAGGAGCGCTGCAGGTGGTTAGGACACACATTGCGGAAATCATCCAATGGCCTTGCAAGACAAGCCCTCACCTGGAATCTTCAGGACCAAAAGAAAAGGGGAAGACCAAAGAACACATTACGTCGAGAATCGGAGGCAGATATGAGAATAATCAACAGCAGTTGAGTACAACAGGGAAAGAAGGCCCAGGAGAAAGTGGGTCACAGGTTGCTAGTCAGTCGGTGGCCTATGCTCCACTAGGGGTAACAGGCGTAAGTATATATATATATATATGCAGTTGATGTGAAATCACGAATTATGACGAATTCATATTATTATTCTCCGATTTCTGTTCCAGCTTTATTCAAATCACTTTTAACTAACAGGTAACATAGACACGACTATACACCTAAAAGAGTTCTAATAAATAGTGCCATTATTATTATTACCTCCTTTATCTCTTCCGACATTCAAGTTACATAAGAGAAATCAGGATCAAAATAAATTTTCTGCTTAGTAAATCAGAATAAGACAGCTGTTCAATATTCTCTCCTCATAGATCGGCTTCATTTCATGGTTACTTTTAGATGAAGTACTGGATGAGCACAGCTAGTGATTCCGTTACCAAGGCAAAACTGATGACTGTTGTTTCCTGGGTTACAAATAATTGATGTCTAAGTAGTGACCAATATTATGTTTGTCTAGTTCGTCAGTTCCGTTCAAGCTCTGTTAATCGCTTTGAAATATGTCCATCAGTCTAAGTGACTGAATTTCATATGCACTACTTTGAGATATTGGGTGATTGGAGTTTCTCAACAGGAAACATTTTTCAAATTTTTCTGCTAGCTGATATTTATCAAGAAGGGGTACTTTTAATTTTGAGATTCAGGTGCCTGTCACCTAGCGTTATAATTTAAAGTGTACTTCATTTTAAATGTCGATTGTTTTGATATACTTATTAGATATTGAAATATATAACTTAATTATAATGCTACAATTTAAAACTAATTCTATAATGTTCTGCAGCATTTGAATATGAACAAGACTTTTGTTATTATAATTTCAAAGTCTTGTGAATATCAATTCAAATGGACGGTAATATTATTGGTTATGATTTCTATCAATTTAACTCCTTTGTGGAAGTTAATATAAACACATAAGTAGCAAGCTCTTCATTGATTATGAAAACTTTATTAATTAACTGAATCACATTTAACTTAGAATCTAGTTTGAATTAGTATATCTATATGAATTGTTGTGTATTTTCACATTCATAAATTTTGTAGACTTATTTCTTAACCGATTTTAATTATATATATATATATATATATATATATATATATATATATATATATATATATATATATATATATATATATATATATACTATTGAATGAAACGAACCTTTTCAGTGTTCAGCTTTAGTTTCCCATTAATTAAATCCCTAAAATAGTATCAACATTTATTATACAAAAATGGATTACTACTAACACATACCTTTTTAATTCATGAAATGATGAATACATTTTCAATATTTCACTTACATTATCATACTTCTGAAAATAATGTCTGAAACAACATGCATTCCTATAATGGTTGATATGATTTTTGTCATACCTTTGTAGTAAACTAAATATAGTTAGAATAATTAGAACACTGATAATTGTGTAGTATGTTTTCCGTCTAAAATTGAAAATATTTTCTATAATTTTATAAACTTGATTGTTTCATGAAATTCAACCATTGAATATTGACCATGATTAAATACGCCACACATTTTAACGTAAAAACACTATAAAATAAAGTTCATGCATGAATTCAACTTATTTATTAGTTTGATAAAAAAAAAACATATTTCGTCAAAGGTTATAAAGTCCACTTACCATTGGTTACTAATACATCAAAACTTCTCAAAATTCAATCAGTTACTATTATTTGTATTGGATAATAATCAATGAGGAGAGACATAACGAGAAAAATCATGACAGATCTACAGTCCGAATGATTTGTCGACATATCCTTAAGTTTTGATTTGATTTTCATGCTTATGGTAGAAATTTATAAAAAATATTTCTACAGGGGGGGGATACGGTATATTTTGCAATGTTTGATCGATTAACGGACATTAATTAAGTGTTTTTCAAACAGAATTATTTATGCAGTTCACTGAAATGAAATGACTGCTTCTTGACAAAACCCGAAACATTCACTGGCTAATATAGAATTACTTACTCGAAACAATACCATATCAAGTTGTGCTTCAAAAGAATCTAAAATCATGTATGATTCACAAATATTCGACAATTTGAAAATTAAATGAAAGTATCTAGACAAGCTATTTCTTAGGTTTGTTTATACGAGCAGTTGAATGTTCATGATGTTGAAATATTCAACAAAATTACACCTAGAAGATTGGATCGCTTCAAAGCGATCACAAATCACCTTATTGAAGTGTGCACTTTCATTAGTCTCAATTAATAATAACAATAATAATAATAATAATGGGGAAATGATCTATTAATAATAGCTTTAATTTATTGTAAGAAAGAAAAGTGAATTTTCTGAGAAATGTAAGATTCTCAGACAAGTTATACAACACTTCGACTCGTTTGAATTAAATGAATGGAAATTTTGACATGTATATTTTAAGGGAAGCATCAACTTACTGACTTACCTACTTACTTACTAACTTGCGCCTGTTACCTCTAATGGAACATAGACGACCGACCAGCATTCTCCAACCTACTCTCTCCTGGACTTTATTTTCCAGTTCTATCCAATTACTGTTCATTCTTCTCATGTCTGTCTCCATTTCTCGGAGTAATGTGTTTTTCGGTCTTCCTCTTTTCTTTTGACCTTGAGGATTTCAAAGAGGGCTTGTCTTGTGACGCAGTTGAGTGATTTCCTCAATGTGTGTCCTGTCCACCTCTAACGGAAGCATCAAGCGTAAAGTCTAATAATTAGAACTAGCTCTAGGAAACCAATAACATGATGTTTTAAGAATTCACAAAGCAAATGATCAATTACACAGTATCACCAGCTAAATAAATCGTTAATGATTTACTAGACTTTCATTTTACATGCTAAAAGGAAACTTGTCAAAGATGATGAGCACCCGTTTATTATGCATTAGAAAAACTAGGATAACCTGTTTTCTACCACATTCGAAATCTCTATTTTTCCAAATCCATTGTCATCGCTTTTAACTTCTTCTCTATTGGCAATTTACTCTCAGATGACTTATTTCTGTTTCCACACTCATTCTCCGGGCATTTCATCTCTAATTTTACAACTATTAGTCTGTATCTGTCTGCTTGATGTGTATTTAATGTGTTTACAATTTCTTTTTCAGTCTTTTAGTAAGAATAGCATTTTTATGCTTTGGTTCAGTTTATGGATCTGTAATAGTAATAATAATAAGTGTTTTTATTATTTTTATTATTATTATTATTGTTATTAACAGCCAAATTATTGGTGATCCTTCAATAACATAAGTATATATTTGTCGTTTTTATATGATCGTGTACCTAATTCTACTCATGATATAGTGCATCCTCTTGTGTGAACGGTCTTTCTACTGTCTTTGTTTCCTAGTGTGCTGGATGCTACACACAAGGTGGTGCATAAGTGGTATGCAGAGGAGCGTCATTCAGAAGTTCCTACCAGAAAGAAGAGTGTCCAAAAATGAAAATGCACGACACGGTTAAAGTATATTGAACACCAGAAGAAATGTGAGAGACGATAACTAATAACCTGCTTATATTGTGAATGGATGTTTGGACCTTATGTGTTCATATTTTGTAAATAAACTATGTCTTCTCCAAATTTATAGATTCCATCTGGTCTTCAGTTCGTCGTACGTTACAGTAATCCACTAGAGTACGCTGCGAATAAGGCAGGGAATTTCTGTCGTATACGTTACATGCAACAACACCATTCATCACATTTGGAAAACGTTGTGCAGTAAAGGTTTACAACCAACTACTTTGATTAGTACTGGGACACAAAGGTAGAACTATCAAGGTAGTTGGTATGTTTTCCATTTGTCTGCTAGATAAAGGATATATAATTTCTATACAACTTGCACACCGTGAGTGTGAGGCGATAAAATGAGATGCCATAGGAAAAATGGTGGTAAACATGGTAACGAATGATAATTACCCTTAAAAAGCCTTTCGTATGTAATTCTAAATATTCCAAAGTTAAATTCATATAAACAAGGAAATTTACTGCAATACTAAACATCTTAAGTTGAGAATTTTATATTGCAATCAAACAATTATCAACAGATCCATTGGTACGATCATCGTTTTACTGAACTGCTAATCAATTATTGTAATATGACTTGGTGAATATATTATTTTTACCCTTAAATAAGTACGCGTTGTGAAGAAACCGCTTGAGATTTCATTACGCAAATAATCATGTACATTGGTTTTACTGATATTTACATGATATTCAATTTCTATTTGTTCAGTAGATTTTACGTAATTGAAAAGTATGCCAATTTGATGATTAGTATATTAAACAACTGTTTATGGATGTAAATAAATATTTGTCTATGAATACAAAGATGTTTGAATAGAATATGAATAAACATGGCTCTGTCATGTATGGCATACAGAATTTAAAGTAAAACGCAGTTATAATGATTGCGTAAAAATGATAACAATGGTAACAGAATAGAGGAAAAAGAAAGAGTCAAAAAATCAGGAAGAAGGAAAGAGCAGAGAATATATTACGAATAAAAAAGGAACAAACTAGCAAATAACAGAAGAACATGAATTAGTTCAACATCATCCAAAGTATAAAGATGTCTTAAATGAAACATTGATTCTATGCACGTTTGAACGAAAGTGCAAACAAAATAAAACTCAATTTAACGTACATATATCGTGCACTAATAACAATAACAGTAACTTAAAATCCAGACTAAAATTAACATTAATGTTGTCGAAATCAGTAAGCGAGCTAGAACCTAAGCGGTTGGTGGCATCTCTATTAGTTTGCAACCCGAAGACCATCTGTAATTTATGTTCTATACAAATATCCTACTCCTTAGAAAACGAAATGTACTACGATGCATGTATGTACAGCTGACTACTTAGTTCATTATCGCGCTGCCATTTTAAAATAAAGAGTGCAATCTCCCCAAGCGTGCTTATTGATCACCCTGTATCTTTAGTGCCTGTACGTTCACGATTAGCCAGCACATCAACTCTGGTACTCTCACTAAGCACACAGATTCAGAACTACAGATCAGTTAATATCACTCCACTAACTACATACTTGATGAAGAAATATATATTGTTGGTTCTGACGTGATACTTCAATCGATGTCTTAATTATTTCTTCAACTACCTATAGTCGATGATAGATATCGCTAGGTATTTTGAGGCTCCATTATTCTTGTTTTTGAAGTATTAGCAATCAGGGTGGAACGACAACTTGTTTATTCCAACATCCTTTTGTAGCAGATGAGGACTTTGACTTACTAGAAAATTCGTAATTAAGCATTCTCTCTCTCTCTCTCTCTCTCTCTCTCTCTCTCTATATATATATATATATATATATATATATATATAAATAAAATTCTCGACAGACGTCTTTACAGTATGGCATAACGGTGTTCTCGGTCATTTCTGTGATACGAGATGCAGTGTGTGAGATTCGATTTCACTTCCTATGTAGAGGTGTTCATGGTCCAGTGATTCGGACATCTATAACCGGCAAGCCCATTTCCGGAGCCAATAAATTTTTGGTGAGTTTACTATGAATTTTCCTCACTTTTTGTTGCTTCATATCTGTTATATTTGTTCATATATGTAATCTTAGCAACGACGTTTCGAAATGGAAGATAAATTTATGGTTCTCAAAGCCTAAACAGATGCGTACTAAATCAGTGGTGTATTTTATTCTCATGACACTATATTTCATGCTTTGTTTGATACATCCCCCCAGCTGACTAAACCTCAAGAGGAGATTCTATCGGTGACTGATCGTGCAATAAACTATAATGTAACCCTTGGACTCACAGTCACGGCTAGACCTCGACGACTGGCACTGAACAAATTAGCTTTCGTTTGACAGTTTGCTTGCTACAGTTATTATTCGTTCTTCTTACAATCCTTGAGACTCTCCTCTCCATATGGTTTACAGGAACTATGGCGATAGTTGGAGACCATGCGGTGAATACAGAACATTAAACGTAGCTACCCGTTTCGATAGCTAAACCATTCCCACATACACGACGTCACGACAACACTCAAGGTTATTACTACCGTTCTTAAGACCGATCTGGTACCATATGATCCTGGTGGCAACCGAGGATGTCGAGAAAATCATCATCACTAATCCTTTTGTACTTTTTGAATTCCTACGAATGCCATTTGGTTTACGGTCACGAGTCGCAGATTGACTGTGATCACTACTAAATGTTCCATGCTGTCTCGTCACGTAAATCAGAAATAAATCCATGTTCGAATATTTATTGAAGGGGAAAGTAGGCATTACATATTGAGCAGCATGTTATGAAAAATGACGGCAACGCGAAAAGAACGTTGCGCGCAAGGAACATGTTTTTTGTATAGTTAAACAAAACGAGTACAATGATAAACGCCTATTTTTCTCCAATCGCGTTTTCTTCGTAGAAGTGTTTCACTATAACGGAATAAAGCTCAAACTTTTCATACATTTATCGTTAACATAATGCAAGACTTAGATCTTGTTCACGTGTTTATTGATGGACCTGTAATCGTATCATCAGACGTACATGAA